AAAGCACTTGCCTAGCATGTGCTCAATCCTCAGCCCCAACCCCCACATAAAGATAAATAAAATAAAGGTATCTTGTCCATCTACAACTAAAAAAAAATGTTAAAAATGAATTCCCCAACTTTGAACTCTGTTCATACATCTTACGATCTACTTAATACCTACACTTAGATATCTGAAAGTCATATTACATTTAGCATGGCCAAAAGTGATCTCTCAGATCCTCATCCTAACCCTCCAATTTCAGGTCACCCACTTTGTGCCCTGATAAGAACTGCAGAGAATCTGGTATCGTACCCTAACAGGTGGTTTGTCATGGTTTCATAGTGTCGGTGTGATGCTCCTGAGTCAGACAAAGGACTTTCTGACACCACAGGCAGCTTGAGCTTCCTGCTTCTATCAGTCCCATTTGCCTCTGAGTCACATGAGCTCATGCGAATGTGGGCCAAGATGGATATAGCTCACAGAATGGTTTTGTGTCACATTTGAGGTACCCTGAATTTAGGAAATCCCAACCTTTTAAAAGGACTTCTAGTAAATATGCCCTATTTTTGCCTTAGAGGGAGCCTTAATGATTTATTCCAAAACATGTTTTACTATTTATATAATATGTTGGGAAAACATAAATAAGTAGAAAAAAAATATGTTCAGGTTAGTGAGAAGCAAGAGTGTCCTGTACACACCTTAGTGCTGACCACAGTCAACTCTGGAAAAGCATCATCAGGCAACCTTCTCTGCCAGGGCAGGAGGCAGGCCAAAGCTCACTGAGCATTGGGACTCACATTAGTGAGTGGATTGCCTCAGGTTATAATGCTCTTAGGAGAATACAGTGAAACACTGGTACGTTCAGTGTCATTGCACAAACCACAGAACATTTTACTGGAAGAAATATGCTTGCCATAGGAAATGATCCTAATAAATACAGACATATTCAATAGTCAGTATGAGCCCTGTTAGTCATTTCAAAGCCCTTCTTTTCTGTTGTTCATGGATGCATTTCTCAACTAGAGCTCTGTGTTAGCTTTTTTTCCGTGTGACACCTTTGGACCTGAAGATTATTTTGCACCATGATTTCAGCTCACAGTCAGCAGGATCCATTGCTTTGGACCTAAGGTGACGCATGGGGGAAGAAAATTGGCTGCCTCATGGCAGCAGAAAGGCAGACACAGAAAGAGAGAGGAAGGAGCTGGGCACAATAAATACCCTTCCAGTAGCTGGCTCTGGAAGACTCAGAAGTAGCCAGATCCTGCTTGGTATGGTGACACAGGTCTGTGATACCAGCTACTCAGGAGGCTGAGGCAGGAGGATCATAAGTTTGAGGATAGTCTGAGGAACTTAGCAAGAGTGGTCTCAAAATAAAAGTTAAACACCAAGGGAAGGGGGTGTGGCTCAGTGTTGGAGACATTGTCCAGCATGTGCAAGGCCCTGAGTTCAATCCTCAGAAATGAGGGAAGAAAATAGCAAGCTGATATTTGCTTTGACTCCTTCCCTCTGTAGTTGCATGCAGATGGTCCATCCCCTGCTCCAGACTTTGGGCAGCATCTTTACCTTTTAGTGACCCCCGCCCCATGGATGCTGAGTTGGAGTCCTTTTCCTTAACAATATCTCAACAGACCCCATCATTTAGTGATGGGACAGGGGATCATGTGTACTTCCACACTCCAGACTCTCAGTTCTCCTCTATAGATGGGAATTACAGGAAAAAGACAAAGTAGTCTCAGTGATTAATACTGTAGCAAAGCATCTGTATCCTTGGTGTGACAAGCTCCCAGTGTTATTTTCTTCCCTTGGGCATATTTTGTGAGTTTTTCAAAACTCCCTTTTGCAGCAACTAGTACAGGGTGGGATGCAAGAGACCTGACCTGTTTTGATCTCTACCACTCCCAATCTTAGTTTCTACTTTGGCTGGTCTATCCCATAGACTCTTTTATTTTTTTTTTTTTTGAGAGAGAGAATTTTAATATTTATTTATTTTTTTAGTTTTCGGTGGACAAAACATCTTTGTTTGTATGTGGTGCTGAGGATCGAACCCGGGCCGCATGCATGCCAGGCGAGCGCGCTACCGCTTGAGCCACGTCCCCAGCCCCCCATAGACTCTTATCATTGGGATTCCCTGGCTTATAGGGCATGCTTCTTTGTGACAGCTACGGCCCAGCCACATTCCACCAAACCACCTAAGGAGCCCATTTCCTGGCTACATTGAACACTGTGAGAGTCTAGGCTGCAGGAAAGCTGCCCTGGCTCTACATCCACCATCAGAGAGACTTCAATCCTTGCCACCTCCAGAATTCTCATACAATGTGTAGGACCCACCTCAATTTCCCCTATTCCTCAAATATTCCTTAGTCCCTCTAGCCTCTAGTGAAAATCTTGTTAATGCAAACTTTTCTATCATCTATATTTTCATTGGAAAACTAATCATGCACATTACAATGGCTTGAACACCCTGGGAGATGCAGAGATTCTGGTGACCTTTGCCCATATTCCATACTCCACTATGTTACTTAAGGAGGCTAGGACTTTCTGCAGTTCAGTAAGTGCCCAGATGTAAGTCAGAAGCCAGTTTCAGCTTTCCACAGACTCTCAATCTCTGTAAGCGCTTATTCTATGCCTTTCATGCAGTGTACACTCCATGAACCCAAATATGCTGGGGTCTCCCTCTGTAAAGGTACAAGTGAGGGTTCATGACCAAGCCCATAGAGGGAATATGAAATCAAAGCATGCTTTTAGCCCTGTGGACTCTGCTTGAATAAACACCTTCCAATCCTCACTCAAACGTCATTTATCAAAAGATAAGATTTGGCTGTGGACATTAAATTTGAACCTTTTCTCCCACTACAATTCTCTGCTATAGAAAGAGTAGCCTATTTTTTAAATCAGCTAATCATACTATACGAAGTTGCTTTCTTTGTCTAATTCACTCCCCACCTGAAATCCTTTCCCACAATCTTTTTTTGTTTTACATTTTTATTTATTTTTTACATGAGCTATTATTATTATTATTATTATTATTATCTTTTGCATTACAATTCTTAATACACGTTTATACCACAATTTATCATATCTCTGTATATAAGATATGTTGACACCAAATTCATATCTTCATACATGTATTTTGTACAATGCAATTCCCCTTCTCCCTCCCTTTCCCTCCCACCCCTCTTCCCTATCTAGAGGTAGTCTTCTTCCCATGCTCTTCCTCCCTACCCCCTTTTGTGTTACACCCCTTATATCAGAAAAGACATTTGGCATTTTTTTGGGATTGGCTAATCCCACAATCTTTTCTGTACCATTGAACACATCCCAAATTCCCCTATTCCTTAAATTGTTTCTCAGTCCCTCTAGCCTCTAGTGAATACCTTGTTAATCCAAAACATCCATCATCTATATTTTTCATTGGAAAATTAATCATGCACTATGAATACAATAACTCTTATATGGTTGATAAGAATAGTGTTTGCATAGTGACACTCAAAATAAAGTTTAAGTAAATAATATAATGTAATATATTACATTATAGTATCAATTGTAATACTAACAATAACTGTGCACAGGGATAATTGTGTGGGTGGAAACATCTAAATATCAGAAGTGTAGAAAAATAAATGTATTTATATTTAGAACATGATTTGTAATACATAGTGCAGAATTAACATCACATACGTGCGTGTCCCAGTGAGGTAATAGACTAATAAATAAAGTTTTCAAGTCATTGTAGGTCATAGAAGTTTCCTTGGATCTTATAAATTAGGGTCCATGCATAAGTTTTACCGTGTTGCCACTGTGTGATAGTTTGGAACTGGGATGTCCCCAAAAGCTCAAGTTAAAGGCTTGTTCCCACTGTTGGTGCTACTGGGAGGTGTCGGAAACTTGAGGGGGTGGTCACAGAGGACTTGCTCTTGAAGGTTATTTTTCCCTTGCCTCTGGCTCTGTTTCCTGGCCACCATGAAGTAGCAGCTTTTCTCTGATATTCCATCCCTGCCCTGATGTCTCTCTCATCAAAAGCCCAGAACCTACTGAGCCAAGTGACCATGGACTGAATGGAACCTCTGACACCATGAGCCAAAATGAATCTTTCCTTGTCTAATTTAGTTTCCTCGGGTGTCTTGTCACAGTGATAGAAAGCTATCTCACACACAGTGGTAAGTAAGCATTGTCCCCATGTTTTCCAAACCTGGCTTTGGGACCACTCCCCTTGCACTGACTGTTGAGCTTCAATTCTCAAATGTATTCAGACATTTGGCCAAGTCCAAGATTTTGTTTGAATTGTTTTATTTTTCAGAGTACTTCTTCCATTCTTGTAATTATGGTCCATTTACATGTACAAAGGGGTTGGGTTTCAGCAACTTCAGTGCTGTTTATTAGAGCAAACTCATCCGGTTTTCCAAATCTCAAGTACTTATAGGAAAGCCTTTGGCCAAGATTCAGCTGGAAGCAGCATCTTCTGCGGCCTTAGGACACTGAGCACTTATTTTGTCTGAGTTTGGTACCAACAAGACAAGTACACTGGGGTCTCCTTCTGTAAAGGTACAAGGGAGGGAGTTCATGACCAATCCCATAGAGTTATAAGTTTTGTTTGGAGTTGGAAGGTCAAGTTAAGGGCCATGTATACTCCAGCATATGGTCTCTTGGCCTTGTAGCTTGTGTGCCAAAACCACAAGGCAAATGTAGCTAACTGATGATCCTGTGGCCCTCATGTAGAGCACCACAAAAATGTCCTGACCACAGCACAGCTATGATGGCCATTCAGAAAGCTGGGAAGAAGTGTTTGTAGAAGGTGGTGGATAATCATGAGGAATAAGTCACAGATGCTGGAGTTCCTCCATGCTGTTCAGTAGTGAACCTGGCCAGGACCTGAGAGTGTGAATGTGGTCACCCTTAGGGTGATTCTCAAACTCTGTTCTCAGGCCTTCTTTACATCCAATTCAGTAAAGACACCATGTTTCCTTTGTGTGTGATATATCTGTTAATATCAACTGCATTCAAATTTAAAATTGAGTCACTTGTAAAATATTTTTGTCATTATTTATTTTTTCATTCATTAAAAATAACAATATATTCCCACATGTTAACATAAATAACATATTTTGTGAAAAATAACATATTTTTCAAAGCACAAAAAAAGCAGTAAAAGGAATAGCACTGTTTTACATTTTGCAAATCCGAATAATATGAGTATCTTACATTACAGAAGAAAACTATATTCTAGCATCTGTCTCTATATTTATCTATTGTGATACAACACAGAATAGAATCTCTGGGAAAAATCTACCATATACTAATGAGAGAATAAGAGTAAGAATAAGAAATAGGCAAATAACAGCTTATTAGAGTGAAGATAGTTTTGATCCCACAGAATATTGTGGGGCACTGCACAGATTCTGTAACTGCACTTGGAGAAAGCTTTTCTAGAGTTAAACCATCAACAGCACAAAAGTGGCTGGATTTGGCCATGACCCTGAGTCTACTGAGGGGCCTCTGGGTGATCTGAGGAAGTAATAGGTTGGAGATAAGTGATGAATTTGTATATAAAAGACCAAGAACATGATAAGGCAAAAGCCTTATCACACTGAAGAGAGTGTCAAATAACAGTTAAAACAGTCAAATAACAAAGGGAAAGCAGGCAGATAAAGGAAAAATAAACAAGATTATGAACTCTGATTCCAGGGTCGACCGCTTCCCATGGGCTGTGTCTTTTCTCTGGGTGATTTCTGGAGAGTCAGAGCTTGTCACTGGTGGTACCAGTAAGGGCCTAGATTCATAAGTAAGATGAATGTGAAGGGTTCTGGAAGGACTTTAGTGTCCCCACACTAAAGTAGTGCATGTTGGGCATCCCTAATATGTAAGTCTGAAATTGAAACGTTTTGAGCACCAACATGATGCAACTAGTGAGAAATTTCATACATAAAACTTTGTTCAGGAAAAAAGTAATTAAACATATTATATAAAATTAACTTCGGGCTATATGTACAAGGTATATATGAAAAATAAAGCATGTTTAGATTCGGATCACATCCCCAAGGTAAGCTCATTCTGTATATACAAATGTTTCAAACTCTGAAAAATACATGAAATCCAAAACACTTCTGGTCCCAAGTATTTCAGATAAGGGATATTCAACCTATAGTTATCAAATCTGTAGTATCAATAATGCCCATGGAAATAATGACTGCAAAACTGGGGGACTGCTTTTTTATTATGTAGAGTCATTTTTATTTTCTGTGATAGCAAAAGGTTTAATATTCATAATTTAATGACTTCAGTGCCTGCAGTCAAGGCATATACAATATCTACAATGATAGCATTTTCCATATATACAGCAACAACGAGAATTTTATCAAAAGCAATATGACTTTTAGCATGTGTGATAGCAAATTTCTATATTGGTAGCCCTGGTACTTGGAAAAGTCCTCAGGAAAATAAACTGCTATTTTTGCATCATTAATCAAATAATTTGCAATATTAATAACTGTTGTTGGAAAGGTCAATTGAGTGTCATGTGTATCACTAGTGCATTTAGTGATACTGTTGTATCATGTCCTGTTACCCAAGAAACAATTTGAGCTATTTCAATAACTACATCTACAAGAACTCGAGTCTTGGGTACTAGTATTCATAGCACCTAAAGTCTATGAATATATTATCTGAAAACACCAAGATTGTGTGTGAAGTCTGTAGCAAGGATATAAATATTTAAAGTTTAATTAATAGGGCTATGGAAATAATAACTATGATTAAAAGAATCATGGTACACAATTTGGCTTCTTTGGTGAAAACTTTGTAATGGATGCATTCTTAAACCTGCCTGCAATGTTGACAGTGTTGGAATACCCATATCTGCTCTGGTTAGAGTAAAAATAATGGTGAAAACAGAAAGCATAAGATTGGGTATCCACTGATCGTCTACATATGCAATAGTTGTTTCAAAGGGTTATCTGTAGTAATGACCCAGCTTCAACAGCAGTCATGGAACTAGAGCAGCATTCATGGCACTTGTGACTTCTGTAGATGCAATAACCAGAAGCATCCTATGTTATTCTATGAGGAGTGGAAGTATCTAAACTATATATTGAAATATACAGGATACCTTGGCACTTTGGATGTAAGAATTTGAAAGGACTGTATAAATAGTAATTGAATTTGTGGTTTTTGTGTTGAAAATATGTGTAGCCCTGGTAGAACTACATACTGTAGTGGCATTTCCAGTAGCTTTAGCAGCAGATGTGCTGTCTTTAGTGTTTGTGTATGAGAAGTGGCAGATTCTTGAGTACTATGTGGGAGAGTAGAGAAAGTATTCAGTAGAAACACTTGTAGTGCCAAGGTTAAGAGTAGTTGAGTAGTTGGGGTACCTCTAGTGGGAGTATCTACAGTACCTGTGATGCCTGGTGCTACACAGCATTGTGAGCATTGGTGGTGGTTGGTTTCAAGTATCCCCAGTGCCTGTGGAAGTGGTATTTAAAGCATGAGTGGGGCTATTTTGAGGATGAGTAGCAGTGACTTTTCTGGTATGTTCTATCAGAGATTCATCATCTCTGGTGGCACCAGGGTCACCTATAGGAGGCAGAGCTGACATGCCTTGGTCTGTAGTTTTTACAGAAGTGTCATTGGCAGACATAGTAACCATGGCGACTCCTCTGGCTGCATTTGTGTTTCCTGCAGTGGTGAGATGTGTAGCATTTGTAGTAAGTGAAACCACAGTCATGGCTGTAGTGCTTGTGGTAGAAGTATCAATGGTGCCTTGATTAGGAACATGAGTGGGGATTAATGTTGTGTGACTTAAGACTGGTGTCACAGTAACAGCAGAGCCGGGAGCAGTGAACTCTGTGATTTCAGAGGAGGCAGTTCTAACCTTTGCAGGAGTAGGGGAGAAGGAACTTGAGTCTTGGGTACTAGATGGTTGTGTGTCAGTAGCAGTTGCTACATCAAAAGTGGTATCTGTGGTGCCAGAGGTTGTACCCTCTGTAGCGGAGCTATTTGCTAAGTTTGTTGTGACAGGGGAGGTTCCCGGGCCCAGGTCTGAAGATGGTGGCACTGCAGTATCAGGGGGATTAAGAGAGGTGGCAGTTGTTCCTTCTGGGGAGAAAGTCGAAACAGAAAGAAGATGACTAGAAGCAACAGTATTTGTAGAAAGAGTACTCACTTCAGGAAGAGTCTTACCACTGTTGAAACCACCAGGCACTGTAGAGGGAAAAGGATGTGTAACAGGAGACTCACTGCCAGTGCCAGCAACCTTCCTACCTACAGGTGTAGTTCCCGTAACAACAGTGGTGTTCAAAGCATCAGTACTATTTTCAGAGAAAGAAGGAGTCAAAAGAGGAAAGCTATTGCTTATGGAATCAGCACCAGTGTGTGTGAGAGGAGTGGACGCAACTGGAAGTCCATGGTGAGGACTGGTATCATCCTTATTGGCACGAGAGGAGGTGGTCACCAGAGCAGCACTAGCACCAGCATTGGATGTGGGAGGGGTTGCAGGGGAAGGGGTGGCGCCAGGAGGGGAAGGGGTGGCGCCAGGAGGAACCACAGTGCTCCTGCCCACATGACTGGTACTGGTTAGCGGGGAGGTAGATGAGGCCAGTAACTCAGTACTGGTTTCAGCAGCAACAGTACTGGCCGGGGAGGCCATGGCTGCAGGAGGCACCACATCACTCGGGCTGGCAGCAGTGGCACCAGGAGGACGAGCTGTATCCTGAGCAGCTGTGTTTGCTGTAGCACCAACAGTGCTTATGGGGAAAGTGGCTTGGACAGACACAGTGGCACTGGTATCAGTGACAATACTCGTGGTAAAGGAAGCATTGGTGGCAGTGGTGACATTAGTAGTGCCTATGGTAAAAGTAGTAGTTGGGACAGAGACAGTGACACTGGTGACAGTGGCACTACTGGTGGTAAAAGGAGCACTGGTGGTATTAATAGTGCCTATGGTGAAAGAAGTGGTTGGGACAGGGACAGTGACATTGGTGTCAGTGACAATATTCGTGGTGAAGGAAGCATTGGTAGCAGTGGTGACATTAGTGACTATGGTAAAAAGAGTTGGGACAGGGACAGTGGGACTAGTGTCAGTAGCAATACTCGTGGTAAAAGGAGCATCGGTGGCAATGGTGACATTAGTAGTGCCTGTGGTGAAAGGAGTGGTGGATACAGGGACGGTGGCACTGGTGTCAGTGGCAATACTTATGGTGAAGGAAGCATTGGTGGCAGTGGTGACATTAGTAGTGCCTATGGTAAAAGGAGTAGTTGGGACAGAGACAGTGGCATTGGTGACAGTGGCACTACTGGTGGTAAAAGGAGCATTGGTGGCATTAGTAGTGCCTATGGTGAAAGGAGTGGTTGGTTCAGGGACAGTGACACTGGTGTCAGTGACAATACTCGTGGTGAAGGAAGCATTGGTGGCAGTGGTGACATTAGTAGTGCCCGGGTTGAAAGGAGTAGTTGGGACAGGGACAGTGGGACTAGTGTCAGTGGCACTACTGGTGGTGAAAGGACCACTGGTGGCAGTGGTGACATTAGTAGTGCCTGTGGTGAAAGGAGTGGTTGGGACAGGGACAGGGGCACTGGTGTCAGTGGCATTACTGAAAGGAGCACTGGTGGCAGTGGTGACATTAGTAGTGCCTGTGGTGAAAGGAGTGGTGGGGACAGGGACAGTGGCACTGGTGAAAGTGGCACTACTGGTGGTGAAAGGAGCCCTGGTGGCAGAGGTGACATTAGTAGTGCCTGTGATGAAAGGAGTGGTTGGGACAGGGACAGGGACACTGGTGTCAGTGACAATTCTTGTGGTGAAGGACGCATTGGTGGCAGTGGTGACATTAGTAGTGCCTATGGTGAAAGGAGTGGTTGGTTCAGGGACAGTGACACTGGTGTCAGTGACAATACTCGTGGTGAAGGAAGCATTGGTGGCAGTGGTGACATTAGTAGTGCCCGGGTTGAAAGGAGTAGTTGGGACAGGGACAGTGGGACTAGTGTCAGTGGCACTACTGGTGGTGAAAGGACCACTGGTGGCAGTGGTGACATTAGTAGTGCCTGTGGTGAAAGGAGTGGTTGGGACAGGGACAGGGGCACTGGTGTCAGTGGCATTACTGAAAGGAGCACTGGTGGCAGTGGTGACATTAGTAGTGCCTGTGGTGAAAGGAGTGGTTGGGACAGGGACAGGGACACTGGTGTCAGTGACAATTCTTGTGGTGAAGGACGCATTGGTGGCAGTGGTGACATTAGTAGTGCCTGTGGTGAAAGGAGTGGTGGGGACAGGGACAGTGGCACTGGTGAAAGTGGCACTACTGGTGGTGAAAGGAGCCCTGGTGGCAGAGGTGACATTAGTAGTGCCTGTGATGAAAGGAGTGGTTGGGACAGGGACAGGGACACTGGTGTCAGTGACAATTCTTGTGGTGAAGGACGCATTGGTGGCAGTGGTGACATTAGTAGTGCCTGTGGTGAAAGGAGTGGTTGGGTCAGGGACAGGGGCACTGGTGTCAGTGACAATTTTTGTGGTGAAGGACGCATTGGTGGCAGTGGGGACATTAGTAGTGCCTGTGGTAAAAGGAGTGGTGGGGACAGGGACAGTGGCACTGGTGTCAGTAACAATTCTTGTGGTGAAGGACGCATTGGTGGCAGTGGTGACATTAGTAGTTCCTGTGGTGAAAGGAGTGGTGGGGACAGGGACAGGGGCACTGGTGTCAGTGACAATTCTCGTGGTGAAGGAAGCATTGGTGGCAGTGGTGACATTAGTAGTGCCTGTGGTAAAAGGAGTGGTGGGGACAGGGACAGTGGCACTGGTGTCAGTGACAATTCTCGTGGTGAAGGACGCACTGGTGGCAGTGGTGACATTAGTAGTGCCTGTGGTAAAAGGAGTAGTTGGGACAGGGACAGTGGGACTAGTGTCAGTGGCACTACTGGTGGTGAAAGGAGCCCTGGTGGCAGTGGTGACATTAGTAGTGCCTGTGGTGAAAGGAGTGGTTGGGACAGGGACAGGGGCACTGGTGTCAGTGGCATTACTGAAAGGAGCACTGGTGGCAGAGGTGACATTAGTAGTGGCTGTGGTGAAAGGAGTGGTGGAGACAGGGACAGTGACATTGGTGTCAGTGACAATTCTTGTGGTGAAGGAAGCATTGGTGGCAGTGGTGACATTATTAGTGCCTATGGTAAAAGGAGTAGTTCGGACAGGGACAGTGGCATTGGTGAAAGTGGCACTACTGGTGGTGAAAGGAGCCCTGGTGGCAGTGGTGACATTAGTAGTGCCTGTGGTGAAAGGAGTGGTTGGGACAGGGACAGGGACACTGGTGTCAGTGACAATTCTCGTGGTGAAGTACGCATTGGTGGCAGTGGAGACATTAGTAGTGCCTGTGGTGAAAGGAGTAGTGGGGACAGGGACAGTGGGACTAGTGTCAGTGGCACTACTGAAAGGAGCACTGGTGGCAGTGGTGACATTAGTAGTGCCCGTGGTGAAAGGAGTGGTGGGGACAGGGACAGGGGCACTGGTGTCAGTGGCAATACTCATGGTGAAGGAAGCATTGGTGGCAGTGGTGACATTAGTAGTGCCTGTGATGAAAGGAGTGGTGGGGACGAGGACAGTGGGACTAGTGTCAGTGACAATACTGGTGGTGAAGGAAGCATTGGTGGCAATGGTGACATTGGTAGTTCCCATGGTAAAAAGAGTGGTGGAGACAGGGACAGTGGCATTGGTGTTAGTGACAAAACTGGTGCTAATAGGAGCACTGGTGGCAGTGGTGACATTAGTAGTGCCTATGGTAAAAGGAGTGGTTGGGACAGGGAGAGTGACACTGGTGTCAGTGGCACTACTGGTGGTAAAAGGAGTATTGGTGGCAGTGGTGACATTAGTAGTGCCTATGGTGAAAGGAGTGGTGGGGATAGGGACAGTGCCACTAGTGTCAGTGGCAATACTGGTGGTGAAGGAAGCATTGGTGGCAATGGTGACATTAGTAGTGCCTGTGGTGAAAGGAGTGGTTGGGACAGGGACAGTGGGACTAGTGTCAGTGGCACTACTGGTGGTAAAAGGAGCATTTGTGGCAGTGGTGACATTAGTAGTGCCTATGGTAAAAGGAGTGGTTGGTACAGGGAGAGTGACACTGGTGTCAGTGGAACTACTGGTGGTAAAAGGAGCATTGGTGGCAGTGGTGACATTAGTAGTACCTGTGGTGAAAGGAGTGGTGGGGACAGGGACAGTGGCAGTAGTGTCAGTGGCAATACTGGTGGTGAAAGGAGCACTGGTGGCAGTGATGACATTAGTAGTACCTGTGGTGAAAGGAGTGGTTGGGACAGGGACAGTGACACTGGTGACAGTGGCAATACTGGTGGTGAAGGAAGCATTTGTGGCACTGGTGACATTGGTACTGCTTATTGTGAGTGTTGTGGTTGGGACAGGTACAGTGGCACTTGTGCTAGCACCAGTGGCCACAGAGTAAGGCGTAGTGTCAGGACCAGCTGCACTAATTGTGACTGCTGTAGAGCTGGTTGAAGGAGTGGTTATGGCAGACGGTTCACTAGTGCCAGCAGTAGGACTTGCACTAGCAGAGCTAGTGAGAATCTCAGTACCAACAGCTGTTGTAGAAGATGTAGAAGGCTCAGGACTCATGGGGAAGGCACTTGTCACAGGCGGAGTAGTAAAGGAAGGATTCCCATGAATCCAGAATACCTCAGTTAATTTTTCCAGACTAACACTCTTGTCAGTCAACTGAATAGTTAGTGTCTGCCAAAAAAATAAAAATAAAATAAAATAAAGTGGGTGTATTAAAACTTCTTTACCATATTTTAGTCCCATCTGAAATTTCATTTAACAACAATAATAAAACCCACAATGTGCTCATTCTTTGCCAAGACAGTGACAGTATACCATAACTTTTTTTTTTTTTTTTTTTTTTTTTAGATCACATGCATTCCTGACAGTTTAATTTGGAGAGATGCTCTGTGTGCAGAATCCTATAATGGCAGTCTCTTCCTACTCACTTCATTCAGTCAGAACCACATTGGTCCTAAATGTTACAGCTGCAATTAAATCCAGTGTTTATTAAAACCTCCTTGCCTTGCCATTGGCCTTACTCTTCCTGGCAGCAGGCTAGTTTCATACCTTCACTATGTTCAACACCTGGTAACTGGCACCTACTGGCATCTGATGTGCTATGGAAATGTCCAAAAAAGAGGGTATTCAAGGACTTTCTGTATTTGTCTTAATTAGATACAGTTACTTGGTAAAAGTGGTTCTGAACCCAATAGTCCAGGGAAAATGTTGCAAACAACTAGAAGAGACTATAGAAAAAGGAATTATTTGGCCTGTATTCAGAAGGGCCTTTTTCTAAAATTAAAATATCAACAGGGCACCCTTTTCACCTTTTAGAAGCTGGAACTAGAGTTATTAATTTTCACTTTTTTGCACTCTACACTATGACTTGCTGAACTCATATTTCTGATTAGTGTCATGTGCTAAAGTAGAGTGCTTTTTCCTCTGTGATTGCTCTAGGTGTTACTATTGTTAATACAACTTTCAAAATGCTGATTTATGTGGCTCTAACAACAAAAGCATACCCTCTGATAGGTTCTTCTATTTTTGTCACTTTGTTTTATTAACCAAATAAAACATCAAAGGTTAGATATAGTCATTGAATGGTCACCACAGTTTACTGCCAATTTTCAACCTAAAAGATCCATAAAAATTTGACCAGGGATGTGATTGCTGCAGGAAAGAGCAAGGAACCTTTGCAACATTAAGGAATCATTCTTTTCTTTGTTTTAGCCTCTGAACAGAAAAGTAAGTTCTATAATGCAGCCTGGGAAACTGACCTATTCAAAAGCACAATTTCGTTTGTAAATGCACAGATGGTATCACCAAACCACTGACCACTGGACCTGGGACAACATACTATGCATTTCACAGCATAATCCAACACTGAACTTTTTGGGAACATACCTGTTGCAAACATTTATAGCATTTGAAATATATGTACATATAAGGCTGATAATAGTGTTGATAATTTTGCAGAATAATAAAATTAGTTCATGATAGCATTCCTTTCAGACATACCTTAGTATAAGGGTCACTCTTGAAATTGGTCGTCATGAATTCCCAGTTGTCATATATGAAACCGACTTGTGTCACATAAGCAGAGTTCACTCCCCAGATTTTAATATATCCAACTTTCAATGAATTTGAGTCGCTCAAATACTTATTGTGTATGACCTGAATTTTCAAGGTGTTCTAAAAAAATTCATAAAAAGAAAAGTGCAAAATACATTATTATTAACCTATGCCTTGCATTCAGATGCTTAGAAACCTCAAGTTGCCTTTGTTGTACTGGTTTGCTATTTTTATTCTTAGTTGAACATTTTATAAAGACATTTCCTGAACACTTGCTGCAATAAATTTGATGATGTCAAAAAATAGGCCTACCAGCATACCTTGCGTGTATCTTTTACTAATTCTTATAATAATTTTGAAAAGAAACTCTGTTTTACAGATGAGAAAACTGAGGTTCTAGGAGATGAAGTGAGTAGCTGAAGGACAATGTGCCTATATGCACAGAATTAGAAGAATTAATACAGGTGAATAAAGAAAAAGCCCTAGAGTAAGGATGGTTGACAAGAAATGCAGGAACTTATCTCAATTGTGAGCTCGTTAAGCATCAATGCAAGGATTAAAATAACCTGAAATAAATCATGGGATGCCATGTAACTAAGGCCAAAAGAAACACATAGTGAAAATTTGTTACTATAGGAACAGTGTAGTCAAGGAAGATTTGGTAAGGACACAGAACTTCAGAAGTCCTGGGAAGGTGGATAGGATGTATAAAGGTGACATGAATGGGGCAGGGAAAAGAGACAGAGATAATTTGAACAAGGGCACACTCATTGAGTTAGGGCAAGGGCTACTGTAGGTGGTGCTAAGAAAAAAGGGAAATGAGACTGGTTTTGCATGTAAGTATGTCAGATAAGGTTGTGAACTATGCAGTAAGTTGGAATAGTTGAAGTAGACTAGAATTGTGCATATCTTGATTCTGGTGGTAGCAGTAGAAAGAGAAAGAAGCATACAATTGGCATTATCAAGATAGGGAAGAGGGGTGGGAGGGAAAGGGAGCAGGTAGGGGAGTAACAAGGATGGTGGAATGTGATGGACATCATTATACAAAGTACATGTGTGAAGACTTGAATTGGGTGTCAATATATACAAACAGAAATACAAAAAGTGTGGTATTTATGTGTATTAAGAATTGTAATGCAAAAAAAAAATAACATTACCTTAGCTTAGGTAGAGGGAAGTGAAAGGAGGGGAAGGCAGAGGATGTGGGGATAATAAAAATAGTAGAATGAAACACATTATTATTACTGTATGTATATAGGTGACTGTATGACCAACGTGATTCTACAATATGTATACTCAGAAAAATGAGAAATTATATCCCATTTATGTATGATACATCAAAGTATTTAAGTGCATTCTACTGTCATGTATAACTAATTAAAACAAATTTAAAAAAAAAGAATTAATAGGATTTTTTGGCTGAATCAAAGGAAAAATGGGTAGGCCGAATCAAAGGAAAGATCAAGGGAAAGATATACACTTGAAGCAAGTAGGTATTAGGGCTAGATCTTACTGATTTGAGAGAGCAGATGGTTCAATTTCCTGAAATTGTGCATAGTAGTTATAGTTAGAAATTGGTTAAGATGGTGGATGTTTTTTTTAACACAGAAGTCAGTAAATACTATAGATCAGCTCCTACCCCACAAGTTGGCTCACTAGCCAGGCAACACTGATAATAATTACCCCACAGAACGCTAGCAGCTTTTTTTCACTTCAGGCCACTGATCTCTAGGGGGGAAATTTATTAAACATCCCAGAAGTAAGAATCCTCTTATCACTACTGTAGAATAACAAAAGAATGGAAATTTAGATTTAAAAGTAATTTAAGGGCCATCTTATGTTTTATAATAAATAGATTTAACAAGAAAAGCGCCTCTTAGTAGTAGAAAGAGAACTAAAATCCAGGATTTCTAGATCAACAGCTTCATTTACAAACAATATTTTGAGAGGAAAAATAAAGTTTTCCACTCCAGTATTCTTTTGTTAAAAACAGGGAATGTACAGATTTAATGAGAATACAAACTTTTGCATTTAGTTTCAAAAGAGGCAAATTCTGTATAAAGACAATATGATCTGATACTCATGTCTATGAAAATAAAATGTAGTTGACCATGAGATTTTTATGTGCCAAACATCTGATACATGTGTTTAAACATTAACACAATGCAACATCAGTAAAAAACAGTCTGGCTAAAAAGTGGTAGTAGGCAATATAAAAATTAATTCTCTCCTGTAGGAATATAGTGCAAACCATATATGTAATTTTAAATTTTCTAATAGCCACATTTTCAAAAAGTAAAAGGAAAAATTGATTTTAAAAGATATTTTATTTAGTATCAAGGTTTATAAAATATTATTTCAACGTGTATTCAATATAAAACCTCTGGGATATTATACAATCTTTCTTCAAACTTAGTTATTAAATATTTCAAATTAGGCTGGCCATACTTGCAAGGGCTTAACAGTCACATGTATTTTGGATAGTGAAGGTCTAAATTGTGCTCTTAATCCTGAGAACCAGGTTTTAGGGGAAATCTAGGATAACTGGAGTCCAAACAGAATAATCACATCTAGAAACCAATAATGTTAGCCCAGAGATGCAAAAAGACAGAAGGGATATATATATATATATATATATATACATAAAAGACATCTCAAGTATTTGAAGTACTTAAGGAAAAGAGAATAGATTTGTGCTACAATTATTCTTATTTTAAGTCAATAGATAAAAATTACGGAGAAGCAAATTCTAACTTGAAAATGAAATGAACCTTTTTTTTCTCTAATTAGAATTACAGATTATTCATGGAATTACTTAACATAATACACTGATTGTAATGTTGTCTCCAACTATTCATTCCTCACTTTTCTATGTAATTTTGGTAATTTTGCCTGACTTAATGCAATATGCTGTCCCACGTGCGCATCTGACTTAGCTTTGCTAGTGGGAGATTAGTCAGCTCCATGCATGAGGTGATTATAGGTATTTCCATGTCAATTTGCACCTTCTTCCATAATCATAAAAACACCATGCTCAGACCATCCTATAGGTCATGTTAGATCATCTGTAGGTCAGCTGATATGCCAGGTATGTGAGAAAGTGAAGCCAAGATCACTCAAGCAGCCTAGAACCAGTGGCTAAATGCAGTCACTTTTGAGCCAGCCAGTATCAGCCAAATTCAGTCCAGTCATCTGAGTTTTGCAGTCTAATAACCAAGTGCTTATAGTTTCATGCCACTGAGGGTTTGAGGTTGTCTGTGGTACAGCATTATTGCATAACAGCTTATTAAATTTCTCATCTGAAAACATGTTACACATTTAGGAATCCATTTTTTCCCTGGATCAATGTGAGTTCCAAATTTCTTTATCTATAATAATACTATTGGATAATTATCAAAATAAGGATTTCTTTTCTTCCCTATTTTAATGTTAACAAATCTGAATTGGTAAAGGCAGTAAAGACCTCCTATTAAAATGTGAGATATTATAAACATTAACTGATAATGTTTAATCTGTAACTAACTGGAAAAAGCATTTATAAAGTTCAACAAAATAGCATTACCTGAGCTGCAATAAAGTTTGCCAAGAAATAGTTTCCATTTTCATAGGTGTCTGAAAGCAAGAGGAAGAAGAAAATAAGCAACTGCTCAATGCTTCCATTGCAGCAGATAATCAAGTCAGAAAATATCTTAATGTGGTCACAAAAGCCAATCTGGATATCATCAATTCCCTGAGAAGTGCTCAATAGTAGCCAACCACTTGCCCAACATACATGAGGTTCTGGGTTCTGAGTAACACATCTACCACCACCACCCCCGCAACTATAGGTAGTATTCAAGAAATATTTTACCCTGGGTTATTATGGGGATGTATGAGTGGAGTAGGTATGGAGATGGAGAGGGGTCAGGAGGTTGCATATGCAAAATAATCTGAGTTAAATTCGGAATAGAACCATAGGTGAAATGTGGAGACTTGGTTAGTCATTCTGCACTGATGTAACAAGCATATAGCCATGAGAGTCCCCATGGGTGTAATGATAAAGGCCCAAAGCTGAGGAAAGTGTTTAGGGATTCAGGCTTCCAACTCAGAGAGACATGGATTTAAATCCCAGCTCTAGTACTTAGTAGTTGTGCCTCAGACAAGTAAAAATGTTTTATCATCTGTAAATGGAGATAAGAATAGTGCCCATTAATGACAATAGGCACATACACTGTAGTTGTGCAAAATAAATGGTCAAAATTTGTTGTACGTGGTACTAGAGAACAAATTTGCCCAAATTATATTGTTATGCTGTATGCATGAACAAATGCGTAACAAGTCCCACTGATATGTATAATTACAATGTACCAATAAAAAAAGGGGAAATCGCTGTTCATCGTCATCATCAGTCATCATCTTTATCTTCATTATTCTCTGTCCCTACTCTTAGCTCATTCTCCTAGAATGCCAGAGATCCAAAGTCCTCCTGCTGCTACAGAGTACACTCCGTGAGTTCTTCATCGCTACGTGCCTTCACTGATCTTCCAGGATATATATAGTATGCTCCAGAAAACTCGACCATTAGATCTCCTTTTCATTGCCATTTGTCTCAAAAAGGTAGATTTTGCTTGTGATGTCTGTGTATTCAACTTGAAATTTGATCTTACATTCTTACGTTCTTCCTTTTTTCTTTTTATCACTGAATCTTATCCTTTCAAAGTCACAAGTGACATAATATATTAAATCTAAATATCTCTTCACAGTGTTCAAGGTTCTTAAGACACCCTTTACCTACACATCTCCCCCTTGAAATTCAGTAGTCCCCACTTATACATGGGGCATATGTTCTGCTATCTCTAGCAGATACCAGAAACTAGTTTCTAATACCAGTACTAGTATTAATAGTACTGAAGCTTATTACTGTGTTTTTTTCCTATATATACATACCTATGTTACACTTTAATTTATAAATTAGGCATAGTAAGAGATTAACAAAAACTAATAATAATATACAGCAATTGTAACATAATTTTGTAGGCTTGAGCTTTGGGCCATTATTAAGTAAAATATAAGCATTGAAATAGTGCAACAGTTAACCTAATAACAAAAATGCCTTCTCAGTGACTAATTGGAGGGTAGCATATACAGCATGGATACACTGGATAAACTGATGGCTCATATCCTAAGTGAGATGGACTAAGATTGCATAAAATTTCATACACTCTACCCACTGCATCAATTACTTATTTCTGGAATTTTCCATTTAATAGTTTTGGACTGTTGCTGACCATAGGTAATTAAAACCACAAAATGTGAAAACTCAAAAAAAGAGGAATACTTTATTTCTTAGTTGGTATCTACTTTATTCATTCTCCTCATGGTACTTTCATACCTCCTCCTATTTCTTAAAAGTCAGTTTTACATCATGATCTATTCTTGACCTTTGTCAACATTTCAGTCTCTTGCCAATAGTCCAAAAAATTATCTCCTTGAACTGACTGACTCTCTTCTATGTCTTCAACATTACCTCATAGGGAAGTAAAAAATTACAAAATCCATATGGTATTTTAAATTTAGCCTTAAAATGAATGCAACTTAAGCAAACACTATAGCCACTTTTATCAGTTAATGAAGAGTTTTCAAGAATGAGATTTGGCTCACAGAATTTTTAAAGATTATAAGATTATCCTTGAAGTAGCCTTTATATTACTTTATGTAAGCAAGGAAAATCTGCTAATAGAAAATTTAAATTAAATCTAATTGTTCCATATTTTAGTATTTAGTATAAAAACTGATAATACCAGGTATTAGCAAGGATGAGAAAAGCTGGATTCTTAATCATTGCTGTTAATAATAGGAAATAGTTCAGCCACATTAGAATATAATTTTGGCAATTTCTTTGAACATTAAACCTGTATTTATCCAATATGGCCCAGCAATTCCACTCCCAGATTTTTAGGCAAGAGAGATGAACAGATAAGATCACAAAATGTTTTATACACAAATAATGGTTCCAAAAATGAAGCAACTTAAATATTTATCAGTAAATCCATGGGCAAATTGTGGTATATCCACAAAATGGAATGCTATTCAGGACTAAAAAGTAATTAGCTCCTTTTACAAGCAACAACACGGGTGAATTTAAAAAGCATTCTGATAAGTGAAAATCTAAAGACACATAAAGGGTCTACACCACCTGATTCTACTCATATAAAACCTAGGAGACATGGCTCTGTCTGTAGTTGGACAAAGCAGAATAAATACTGCCTTTTCCTGGAAGTAGCAGGTGGAAGTGGGAAAAGCTGACTGGAAAAAATAAGGGCGCTCTTGGGTCATGAAAAGATCCTGTATCTTGATGTGATGGTGGTCATCTCACTGTGTGTATCTGCCAACTATTCAAGAGCGCTATTTAAAAATGAAGACATTTTATTTATGTAAATTACAACTCTTTGAAGAAAGGAAAATAATGATCTTCAAGGAATATACTTTATGGAAATAATCTAAAATGCAAACACAGGCTAATACTACAAAATGTGATTCATAAAAATGAAAACTGAAAGCATCCTATATAAAGAACAATTACACAGTTACATAAATTACAGCATAGCTTCCTGATAGAATCTATGTCATAATGGTGCTTATAAGGAGAATATAATACATCTAGAATTGTGTCTTTCATTATGTTAAGTGAAAATAAGCAGGCTTCACAAATTAAATTTGTAGTATGCTTCCAGCTACAAAAAAATCACACATTTTATTAAGTAATGTAAATCCAAAAGTAATACAGCAAAAATATTAAAAGTGGACATATTTTTTTCTAATTTTCTATCTTTAAGACTTTTTGAAGAGAACACTTCATGCTTTAATGAGAGTATCTTATCTTTATAATGAATAAAACTAAAAAGAAGGAAGCCTTTAGAAATGCAGTAGTGAGAAATAGATTAACATTTCAGAAAATGTGGCAAGCTGCAAGACAAAATGTTCTGTTCCACAGTATATAAGTAGTGAAAAGTAACTGGTTGGCAGCAGTGTGTCAGTATTTCCATAGAAATGTCTGAAAAAGAGGCTGCTCTGATTACAATAGTAGATTCCAATCCAAGGCAGAATGAGCTTGTCCCTGGATTGGGGAGTGAAAGCACATAAGGTGTGAAGTATCCTTTAGGTGATACTTAATTCCCAATTTATGAGTTACCAAGAAATTTTCTAACTCTATTTTTTTTTTCCTGAGTGGGCCAACATATGAGGAAAAAGATGCCTGGTGTGACCAGCTGGCCCAATAATAGAGCCCAGTCCTTGTTCCATTGAGAATGAATTTAACTGTCAGCCTGATATTTGTATCCACACTATTTTATCAGAGTAAGAGAGACCATCCCTGGCTGGATAAATATACCTGGTCTATAGCATCATATACCTGGTCTATAATAATTTGTAGCATAACACAAGCAGGGAAAAGTTGTAAAAGTTCTTCCCACACCAGGATCATATTGACAGTAGCAGACACAGAGAGATTTTAAGTTCCTATGGTTACACACTGATCCTCTAGGGTACTGCTTTTCTGAATGATGTTCAAGGATTCTGGGAAGTTCACACTCACCAATGCTTTGTCCATCATCCCAGAACAGTTGACCTTCAGCCTTCCCATCATCATCCAAAGCAACAGTTAACCCCATAAAACATTGTCGACTATCAAAAAAAGGGGAGGGGTATTAATTTTCACTAGTTTGTAGGTTTTAAGAATGAAGAACAGCTCATGTTGAAAATATTACTTATCCAGAAATAAAAGTAGCATATTAAATATGCACATAAAGTTCTAAAAAGAGGTAAAATGTGATAAAATATGATACTTAAAAGTTAATGGAAACATTTAATGTTTAATGAAACATTTGATTTAATTTCAACTTTCAAAAACTAAATATACATACTTTATAAATATACATATTCAAGTAATTTAATGAGGTCTGAAGTCCTCAGGAAGAAACCTCAAGAAAAAAGAACTCTTCAATAGCTTTCAGGTTTCTCTAAATTACTTATTCAAGTTGCTCTAAATTACTTAGACATTCATAGCCCTCCATGATCTGCTCTATTCCTGCTTGAATTTAATTTATGTGACCCCTTCCCTTATCTATGCTCCAATTAAACTAAATGGCTTGCTATTCCCCAAATCCAATCCACTCTTTAGTTCTTTCATCCTCCCAGAATATCTTTTTCTCTTGCACTCATCCATTCAAATCCTATTCATTATTTAAGATCCAGCTCAAAGCCCTCTTTCATGTAAATCTGGGCTTTACACCACAGACTGTAAATTGACCTCTCTCCTTCAGGGTTGCTATCTCTGTTTGCAGATGCCTTTCTTGACAAAATATATTCTCCTTAATGAGTGAGTTCATATATATATATATATATATATATATATATATATATATATATATACACACACACACAGAGAGAGAGAGAGAGAGAGAGAGAGAGAAAGAAAGAAAGGAATATCTTCTTGCATTGACCAAAGTCACCCTGGAATTAGAACTACATTCCTGGGTAGCCATCACAAGGCAAGAAGCTCATTAATACTCCTATATTTTTAATTGCATGGGAAGAGAAACATGCTTCCACCCTCAGGAAAGCATTTCACCATCACACAGCATTAGAATAAAAGATCTTTCCAAGACTGCCTTTATGAACTCATTCTCCAGATCCTATTCAGAAGGCACTCAGAATCCAACCAGGAAGACCCATCTGCAATTTGATTGATTTATCCACATAGCCCTGGTAAATATGGAACAGCCTTAAGGTGCCTCACATGGCCAAGCAAGGCCATCAAATCCCACTTCTTCTTCTTACCTGTAGTAAGTGTTAATGGCAGGCTCTTGCCAAGGCAGGATGTAGCCTCCTCTGACATGAAGGTTGATGTGGTCTAGGGGAGCCTTCAGTATTACCAACTCACCTGTGGATCTGTAGGCAGATTCCTAGGAAGGATCATACAGGCAAGATATGGGAACAGATGAACTGATTAAATGAATGCATGCTCCATTACAAGTCCTTCTTTTCAAAGAAGTTAGCAACATATTGCAAACTGGGAGAGAAAACTTAATTTTTTTTCATTTTGCTTAAGACTCTGAAAACCTAGTCTTTTCTCTGTCTCTCCTGAAGGGTAACTGGTAGACATCAGTGGGATACAGAATCTCAGATTTTATCTATTTATGCTTTAATGCATCCCTTCATTTAAACAAATCTTGCAACAGCTGAAAAGGCTGGAAGTTACTGCCTTAGAAATATATGTTCAGAAGTCAGAAAAAAAGTTCTAACTACTTCTCTAGCCTGCAGAGAGCCACCCGGGTCCTCACAAATACATTTGTTCTTACCGTGCTATGGTCATACCACTGGGCTCTGGGAAAATAAGCACTGATCTCAAATGTGTTCTGAAACACAAAATGAACATGTCATTATTGAGTATTGCAATAAGGAAATAATTTTAACTTTTAAATCATTTTCTGCAGAATTAATATTAAAAATAGAATTCTATTAGGATGTCAAGAATTTGAGATTTTTTTTAAAGAAATAGACTGAGAATTTCTTTTTCAAATACACAGAAAAATAATTTTTTATAAAGAGTAAGTTGGAAAAGGGCAAAAGGTGACAAAAATTCATAATGAGAAGTTAATCGTTATTGTGAAGCTTTCATTAATGGGAATCTTGGAAAAAAAACAAAAACAAAATCTCCTTGAGACATTATAGAAATAGTGATTGTAACAAGACAAGGGGATATTGAAAATGCTTTTCCTGTGACTTTGCACTGTGTGATAAGAGGCTTCCTGATCTACAATGAAAAACTCACACTTTCCAGCACAGGGCTGATCAAGATGGCAGGTCCCAACATAAACTGACGGTCTATATCCCACGTTGTCTTGTCATCTGTAAACCTTAAATGATAAATATGAAAATTCACACACACTGTTACAGAGGGTGATTTACAAGACCTGTCCAGATCTGCAGGCCACCCACAGGCAAGGGACACAGGCTATACTCACTCATGGAAAAGGGGTCGGATGACGGTTCTGCCCTCTGTGTGAGCTTTATGCATCAGAGTGTAGAGGTAGGGCAGCAGGGTATATCTGAGCTGCAGGGCTTTCCTTGAGAAGTTCTCAAAGGTTGAATTCCAGGCCACAGGATCTTGTCTCTAAAGGGATAAGAGAGCATATCACAGATCACCAATTTTGGTAGCATCAGAAAGGGGTTATCCAGTGTGTATACTGGATATATATACTTCATTCCAGCCTACTCTTTACCCTGCCCTGCCACCTGAAAAACTAGAAAGTGTGAAAGTGTTGCTCTTTCTTTTTACACCGATCCCTAAGGACCACACCCAGGTCCAGCTTTGCTCTTGCACATGTGAAGAGAAGTAGTTCTCTATTCAGTGCTGATATGTCTCAGGTGAATCTGAATGCAACACAAATTCAATATTCTTAAAAGCAAGAGGTGCTTCTTATATTTCAGTCCTATGCAGGAACTATAAAAACTTCTTTCCTCATAGGTACTAATCCTCCAGAACATGATGAATAGTGTATTCTTAAAAATTATTGATAACTCTGGAGTTTTGAATTTTGTAGATATTCCAAGAAGAGGAGTTATTGTGCTCTGTGTGTGTGTGTGTGTGTGTGTGCTTTTTCTCGGAAAATAGTTATGATACTCTTGTGAATTAAAAAGAAGGCCTGGCTGAGGGTACAAACGCCTGCAGCATGAACGATGGCTGCCTCACCCTTGTCCCTTTGGTGTTGTGGTTCCTGGAGAAGGGGTAGAAGGCTCCCAGCTGCATCCAGCGAATACACATCTCATACTCAGCATCTCCAGAGAAGCCACAGATATCTGCTCCTGTCTGAGAAAATGAAAAAAGAATCAGAGCATGAGAGTTTTTGTGGGTTTTTTTGAAGTTGCTGACATTGGAACCTGACAAGGCATTAGTAATGACTCCAAGATGACTTACATAAGACATTCCAAAGAGACTGAACTCCATCATGCCTGCAATGAGATAATATGGCTGTGTTAGCAGAAGAGGTCCTTTTGGAAGAGAAAATGTTTGACCAATTTTTCCCTATCATTCAAGACCTTGGGCCATTCATAATGAAACTATTGAAAAAAAATGATTGTAAATTAAAACCCACAACCACAAAGAACTCAACTCTTCTTGACTTTACTGCCTGCCTACATGATAATCTATACATACCCAGTACCCCACCCCCAAAATGAGCAGAGGCCCCGGGAACAAGCCACACACCAATGATAGATTTCCCCAGCTGGTCCCACTCAGCAGTGTTGTCTCCCAGCCAGTGTCCTCCCCAGCGGCCAGAGGAGGGGAATGTGGAGCGGGTGATGACAGTCCCTCGCTGTCCAGTCACTTCCTGCACAGCTCTGGTAGGAGGGGAACAAGATTAAGTTAACTGTTGAGTTGTTCCACAGCCTGAGTTCTTTCACTCAACCTTGACTTGTGAACTGATCAGTCTTTAAAAATGTAGTTTAAAAATGTCCCTCCCATCCTAGCCAAGGTCTGACATTCAATAATGATCTCCTGTTGCTGATTTTCTGACCCTGATTACATTTTCTACAAATTTCTGCCTATGCAAACACAGCATTGGGAACGAATGTGGTAAATTTTACAAAAGACAATAGACTTTGTTTAGAAGAACTCTTTCATCCTCCCTCTCATTCTTCACTGTGTAAAACTAGTCTCATATTCTCTTTAATTTGTGCATATCAATTAGACAGAACGGGGGGGGGGTGTTGTTGTGCCACATTTGTGCATATCTAAAAAAAATTTTGATCAATTTTACTCCCCAATACCTTCTCCACCCTCCCCCTAATCTTCTTCCTATACCCTACTGGATCCCTTCTAATTTCATGAAGTACTTTTGTGTTTGATTTGTTTTTTTTCCTTCCAACTTCAATATATGAGAGAAAACACACTTTTTTCTCTCAGTCTGTTTTATTTTATTCAAAAGTATGGTCTCCAGCTCCATCCTTTTTCCTGCAATAATATAATTCTGTGTTTTTTTTTAATGGCTGAATAAAACTCTACTGTATGTATGTGTATGTATGGGTGGGTATATGTATGTGTGGAATACATGTATATAATTTATATATATATATGATATATAAAATACTTATACATAAAAATTTCTTATTCATTCATTTGCTAATGAATACGTAGGCTGATTCCATAATGTTATAATTCATGTGTAAGTCAATACAAGAAGGTTCATAAAATAAATGAAACCCTTAACCCAATCAGTACATAAAGAAGAAGAAGAAGAAAAAAAAAAGGACCAAGATTGAGGAAGCACAGCCATGGGATTCCATGCAGCTGGAGCACGAGGTAGCAGTGTTGTTCCCTTTGGAGTCAGAGAACTTCTCCCCAAAAGGAATTTGCTATCTGAAAATCATGCTGAGAATCCTAACCAACTTCACATCAGGACAGGAAGGGATACACCAGCCCCTAGAGTATGGATTTCATTTCTAAAAAAAAAAAAAAAGATCTATTAAATTAGTTCTCTATGTGGATGGAAGAGGAGGGATGGGGTGAGGGCTTGACAACTATTTGTGGATCTGTTGCTGTATCCCAGCAGCACATGGTGCCATCTTTGAAGCACATGAGGAAGGTCTCCCTGCATTCTTTTTACTGTTAGGAAACTGAAGCTCAGCTAAGTTTCAAAACTTGTTAAATATTATTTATAGAGCAAGGAGGCAAATCTGGGATCCAAATAACAATATATATGACTATAGCTTATTGGTACAATGCATTCTGTTATGCCATGCTTCAAAAAGCAGTCATTGACCGGGTTTAGTGGTTCATTCCTGTCCCAGTGACTTGGGAGGCTGAGGCAGGAGGATTGTAAATTCAAGGCCATCCTCATCAACTTAGAGAATCCCTAAGCAACTCAGCAACCCTGTCTCAAAATAAAAAGGGATGGGAATGTTGCTCAGTGGTTAGGCACTACAGGAGTTCAATTCCTGGTACCAGAAGAGAAAAGAAAGAAAGAAAAGAAGAGAAACAGCAAGCTATGTTTTCCTCATGCACAAACATACATAAAGGATCTCCAAACAGCTCTTGAAAGAAAATAAATCTTCTGTGCACATATGTAGTCAGAAAATAAAACAACTATGTGAGATAAAAAAAACAATAGAACAAAAAAGACATTATCAAGTGTACAAATACACATTTGTATGTGTATTTGAAGAAATACATTTGAAGAGACAATGGTCAAAAACATATACACTGAAAACTAAAATTATTGTTGAAAGAAATTGAAGAAGTGGAAATATATTCTATATTAATTAATCAGAAGATTTAATATTGGTAAAGAAGTAACACTTCCCTAATTGATCTGCAGGCTCAATGTAATACCTGTCTTGTAGAAATTGCCAAGCTGATCCTAAAATTCACATCAAATGCAAGGAAGCCAGAATATCCAAATAATCTTGAAAAAGAACAAAATTGGAAGATTCATACCTTGTTAAATAAGACAGCATAGTACTATTAAAAGGTAGATATAGAGATCACTGAAATAGAGTTAAGAGGCCATAAGTAATCACTTTCATTTACTGTTGGTTGATTTTTCAGAAGGTGCCAAGACGATTAAATGGGGGGGGGGGGGAATCAAACCTCTACTTCATACCATAAATCATGCAAAAAATAACTCAAAATGGGCATTCTGTGAAAAGACAATTTACAGAATGAGAGAAAATATTTGCAGACCATATATCTATCAATCACTTGTATCCAGAATATATGAAGAGTTTTTACAATCCAATCCTAAAAACAAATAACTTAAAAATAGGCAAAGAATTCAAATAGACATTTCTGCTAAAATGATACATAAATGGCCAATAGGTACATGAAACAATATTCAACAGAACTGGTAATTAGGGAAATGAAGACAAAAATTGATGTACTTTAGGTCCATTAAAATGTCTATAATAAAAAGGGTAAAAATAGCTTGTTGGTATGGATACAAGGTAACTTAAAACCCATTATAATGTCTATAATAAAAAGGGTAAAAATAACTTGTGTTGGTATGGATACAAAGTAACTTCAACCCTCATCCATTGCTGGTGAGAATGTCAAATGGTATTTTTCAAGGCCAAACTCTTTAGACAGTTCTTAGAGAGTTAATATCTCTAAGATATTAAATATACGGTTACCATACGATCTGAAAATTCTACTCCTAGATATATATTAAAGAGAAAATAAACACATTTCGATTCAAAATCTTGCAGTGAATGTTTATACATGTCTATTCATAATAGCCAAGATCTGAAAACCACTCAAATGTCTGCTGGCTGATAGACACACAAAATATGCTCTATCTTGACAGTAGAATATTATTCATCAATAAAAGGAATGGAGTACTGATACATCCTGCAACATAGATGAACCTTGAAAACATACCAGGGAAAGAAGCCAGACACAAAATTATTATGCAATTTCATTTACTTGAAATACACAGAATGGATAATGTTAACGACAGAAAGTAGCTTAGTATTGGCTGGAGCTCAGGAAGTGGGGACAGGGAGGAATGACTGTTAACAGATCAAGGTTTTTCTTTTGAAATGATGAAAATATTCTAAAATTTTATTTTAGTGTTGGATGTATAACTCTGTGAATGTACTCTGGGTTGTTTGGGCAACCAGGCGTGATCTGTTTGACACTGCTCCATTTAGCTGGCATCATGTAAGTACAAATGCAATACAAATATGAAACAACAAATACAGGAATGTAGAAAATTATCTGTGCTGCAATTGTCAAAAACACTCACTCATATGTCGGTCTGGTCTGGGACCACCCGTACAGGCTGTGTACGTCATAGTGTCGCACCCGGGAGCCATCTGGCAGGATCTGCTCACTCTCCATGCACAGGGTCTTACTGCTCAGGCCTTTGTCCCTAGATTCCAAATCTGAGGGGAAATGTTGAGTTATTTCCCAAATGACTTGTACATTCATTCTGACATTTCTCTATTTCAATCAGCACTTTTGTTACCAGTAATAGGTTCAATTTCCATTTTTTGTTTTTTGTTTTTAATGTACAAAAGCAACATCCTATGACTTAATAAAATTTGTAAAAGGTAAGAATGGGGTATGGCAGGGGAAAAGCACCCTTGGCTGTGTTCCAACTCTAACTTAGGGAATGCTGTCACCACTGGTTTTACAAGTTGACAAACTCCTTGGGTGAAAGGATTGGGTTTTCCACTAGATGGTAATGTTCTCAAGGGAATAGATCTTGTTTTGCTCAGTTTCACCAGCTTTTGCCTGTCATATACATGTGGGTGGAAGGAGAAACTGAATGAAAGAATAATTGAGTTAACGGACACGGCTCTGCATGGCAGCGACCTAGACACAAAGAAACCTGTGTCCCAGATTCTGCTTCATGAATTTCTGGTACACTGCTCTTAGGAACTCACTTCCTTTTGGGGCCTCTGTAAGATGAGAGGATTCAATCATTTGAGAAGTGTTTGATCCCAACATCATATTTCAGTTTGCACTCTGGAACTACCAAGGGGTATCTTTTATGAACTATCTGCAAACACAGACTGAAAGTTCAGGACTAGATTTTCATTTACTAATAGAGAGAGAGAGAGAGAGAGAGAGAGAGAGAGAGAGAGAGAGAGAGAGAAAAGGGGTTTATTGAAAAGTTTTTGGGGCAATTATCGAGAATACAAGTAACAATGAATGTTGGCAAGGATGTGGGGGGGAAAGGTATAGTCATACATTACTGATGGGACTGCAGATTGATGTAACCACTATGTATAGCAATGTGGAGATACCTCAGAAAACTTGGATTGGAACCATCATTTGACCCAGACATCTTACTCCTCAGTCTATACCCAAAGGACTTAAAATCAGCATACTATAGTGACATGGCCACATCAATGTTTATAGCAGCTCAATTCACAATAGGTAAGCTACGGAACCAACCTAAGTGCCCTTCAACAAATGAATGGATAAAGAAAATGTGGTATATATACACAATGGATTATTATTCAGATATAAAGAAGAATGAAATTATGGCATTTGCTGGTAAAAGGATGGAACTGGAGGCTATCATGCTAAGCAAAATAAGCCAATCCCAATAAACCAAAGGCCATATGCTCTCTCTGATATGTGGATGCTAACACATAATGGAGCGGGGGCAGAGAATAGAAATTCGCTGGATTAGACAAAGGGGATGAAGGAAAGGGAGGGGAAAGAAAGACAGTGGAATGAGTCGGACTTAACTTTCCTACATTCTTATATGAGAATACATCCAGTGTAACTTCACATCATGTACAATGACAAATAAGGGAAGTTATACTCCATGTATGTATAATATGTCCAAATATTATACATGTATATCTAAAAAGAACATTTTCTCATATATATCTAAAAAGAACAATTTTTAAAAGTTTAGCATTCAGTTCACCATTGTCAACATAATAAAACGCATTGCTTGGTTTCTTTCATACAATGTCATGTCATTATTTCTACACACACACACACACAAATTAGGCTTTACTTTGACAGTAAGAGGGAAATCTTCAGTGTTTGAACTTAGCAATAATTTGATAAAGTAATATTTTACCTACCTGGCATATAGGGTGGGTTATTAAGAACTTCACTGCGGCAGCCCCCAACAGATCCATCCACAAAGTTTGACGGCTCATTCATATCCTGAATTAAGTTAGCAAGAGAAGATTCCATCACGTCAGGTCTGTATGGCCTTCACCTAGAGGACACTAGCTGCAGAAGATGCCCGGCCTGCACTGAAGCTTTGTCTCTGTAGTGGCTCAGGGGACTCTGCTTAATCCTGGCATTGACTAAAGTGGACTTAAGAGTCCACATCTGCTTCTGTGGAGTGTTAAACTCCTTCCAGCTCACTTGGCATTTTTAAATTTATGAAGTGGTAACCTAACAGCAAAAATATTGAGACTATGCTGAATCCAGAACCTAAGGAAACAATTTGATTCATCTATACCACAGGAGAAGCACATCTTTGTTTGTCTACCCACAAATTATTCACTTTGTATCTGCATTCAGGGATCACTATGATCTCTCTCTCCTTTTTCTTAGCCAATAGCTTAGACTAATTCTGATATTCACGTGCACCAAACACAAGGAGACATATCTCACTTTCTGCAGTAGACACATTCCTGAAAAGTTGTATATGATTCAGAAACCAGTCTGGAAATAAAATCATATTTTGGCAAAAGTTGTCTACTTTATAAATAGAGAAGTTAAAGTTTTGTATGTTATGTTATCTTATATGGAACATACTAAAGGCAAAGGCAAGTATTTGGAGAACTATTCATTATTTTGAATTATGCAGCTTTCTTTCAATGGGAACAAATACTTCACAGTTATCAGAATCTCTTGTTTCTCAGAGTTATCTATATCTCTTCACTGTCTGATTTGCCTGTTTGGGTTCATTTATGCGTTCTCACCTGTCTGCTCTGTGCCTATTTACCCTGAAGGTTCAAGTGGTCAGGGAGGCCCCCAGACAGACAGTGGGCTTATAGGTTTGTCTTTTGTGAATCACAAGCTTCTTGCAGCCTGACCTAGACTTGAGCAGCTCTTCCTAACTAACCTGGTAACTGCTTAGGTTTTCAGGCCACTAGATAGAGGGGAAGGAAATCATGACATTGATAAGATTCCTATCCTTAGAAAAACATAAATAGAGGGGCCCTTGGACACATGTCCCAGAGACACCTCCAGAAGCCCTTCACTCAGGGCTTTTTAAGCTATTCCTTCAGGGTAAATGTCTCTTTGCTCATAGATTTATGCCTTGCCTGTCCCCAGTTCTGCCCTGTGTTGCAGGACAGGCTTCAGGGCTTCTAGGTCAGTTTAGCCAGCAGGAAGCGCCAGCAATAGATGGAGGGTTGAGAGTAAGAGACAAGGGCACCGCTCCCTCTCCCTCATGCCCTGGCATCTCCCGCAGTAGCACGTCTCCTCTATGGGCTCCCATTTCCTCCAGAAGACACGACCCTGGGCAGGTCCACAATAATCTCTGCTACTCCTATTCCCAGGACCTAGATTCTGTACCATCACCCTTCCTTTCATGCCTCTGATTCCAGTGCCCTGCTTCTTCTAGTCTCGGAATTGATTCCCCAAGTTTTGAATATGAACATTCTAAAGAGTAACCACTGAGGGTGCACTTACGATCGACAGTCCATCAAACTTCAAGCTCTTCGCTGGCTCTCTGGGGTTAGCATAGAGCTCGTTTATCTCTTTCTTCCACCATGCAGCTGTGCTGTTATGAAAGAAGTCAGGGAAAGCAACGTGGGCCCTGTACATCTGTAAGAGTGACATGCATTGTCATAGTGAGGTCATGCATGTCCAAGAAGGGGAATCCTGGGAACAGGAAGGGGAGATGAGCAGGCTTTTGAGCCTGTCCAGCTCAGCGTCTGATTTAACCTCAATTCTGCTGCTGGTGGTGTTGCAAAGTTTACAGTGGACACACAGTTGGGGAAAAGATGCGTTCATTCTTAATTTTCTTAGAAAAGGGTTAGATAGCTTTTAAACATAGAACTTCCTTTATGACTAGAAAATTAGTCATGGCAACTAGAAACCTGATAGTCAGCCTCTAAACAATGTAAATTTAGAGATCCATGACTCATTTGACTCATCAAATGAAATGCAGGAGGACCCCATAATCCAAGGAGAAGCAAGCTGCACAGTAGAAGGGTTAGTGGGTGCCAGGCTGACATGGGAGCAAGGGCTGAGACCAAGTCCTTTGCTCCTTTCCACTGGCTAGTGTTTGCTTTGGTATGTAGGTAATTCATTAACCTGCAAAGGGTATTTGTTCATAAGAGATACTCTTCCGAGAAAGCATTCTGGACTTTGGTTCCTTATTTTTCAAGCAACACTAGATTCAGATTGCAATCCATTAAAGGCATACATGTAAGGAACTCCCTGGTAATTTTCTTCTATACTTTTCCATTTTAGCTATTTTTTAGGTTTCTCATTTGAGGATCTCCTTCTGCAAAAAAATACCACCAGACAAGCACACTGGCATTAAAGCCATTTAACCAGAGCATAAGCTATTTATCTAACAGAATAAAACAAATAAGTATCCAGATATTTAGGGCAATGTAGACCAAAATCCATGTATGACTGTACCTTGACCTGAGTTTCATGGTCAAGGGATTCATCCACATTTACATTGGGCAGCTCTGGCCAAACCTAGAGAAAAAGAGGAAATATTGAAACCTTTAAGTCATGGCAAACAGACCATGAGGTGTTTCACATGTTAGACTTTCATGACATGCATCTTCACAAATGCTGGGCACCTTGGCCATAAATTAAATTGTAAATACAGATCAATAGATGAAATCCTGCTAGGTGAAATCCTGTTAGGCTCAGATCTTTTTGTTTCATTCCATAAGTTTTCATGTTATTTTTAACTTAATAAGTAACCCAATTCATTTTAGATGTGTCTTCTGAGTAACCATCTTTCAAATAATTACTCCATGGTCTGGTCTGCCTTTTACTTTTGTGTATAACAAAATTCCCTTTATAAAAATAAATGTTAAGGTTGACTCTAAGAATAAGATTGATTTACATTCACAGCCATAAACTCTGTCTCAATACTTCTAAGTAATACCATAACTTTTGGACACCCACAAATGTTCTTAGTGTTTAAAAAAACTTTCATATATCAACCAATTTCATCTGTAATTAGCAGGACTTTATATAAATTGATTAATTAATTCAACGAGGAAACAGTTACTGAGCACTTATTATGAGGATCTATATCTACTGAGATTATAGCAGTAAATACTGCCTGTTTTTTCCAAGAGTTCACAGAGAGTAATATATAAGTGCTACATGGTATGCTATACTCTCTCTGGAATGACACATGAAAGGGAAAACAGCAACTGAAACAGTTATGGAGTACTTCTCAAGAAGTAAGATCTGGGCTGGGGATGTGGCTCAAGCAGTAGCGTGCTCGCCTGGCATGGGTGCGGCCCGGGTTCGATCCTCAGCACCATATACAAACAAAGATGTTGTGTCTGCCAAAAACTAAAAAATAAATATTAAAAACTCTCTCTCTCTCTCTCTCAAAAAAAAAAAAAGAGGAAGTAAGATCTGAGTTCCTCTTGGCGTGCAGATATTATCTGGGGACACCGAGAAGGCTATATTCAAAGTGAGAAAGGCATGTATCCAGAACTGTAGGCAGTGGCATAGCAAAATTAAGGAACAGAGTTGGAACCTGGCAAAAGCTACTGTCATGTGGGTCAGGAAGTTCACATAAAACACTGCTGCTATAAATCAGATAAATGAGGATGAGGATTGAGGCCACAGAAAAGGAATTCAAGGGGTCAAAGAAAAAACAAGAATCTATAGGACTTGGTGATTCATTTAAATGAGAGGCTGAGTAGGCATCGTAAGTCAAAGGTGTTGTGAGTTTTGAGTTTAGGTGGCTGGGAGACACAGATTTCAGAGTCTTTCTCTCTCTACAGGATTCCTAATGTTTACTACTAAATGACTAGCTGGAATACATAAAGGGTGGGACATCAGAACATATCCAGGCAATAACATGGTATTCAATATCTAGAGGATTAGAGCTGTGACCTTGGTCTTATTAATGTGTATTAACCTAATCAGCATCAGATAGATTTCTACTCATTCATAATTTATTAATTAAACGATATATTTTTGTATGATTTATTGAGAGCACCTTTTAATCAAGACATAGTGCTGTGTATTAATTATAGCCCCTTCCCCAAGCCTCACCTTTCCCCAGACAATGTCACTGGTGTTGGGCCATTTGATGAACACGTTGTCTTCTTGTCCTCTGGTGAAGGTGAGATACTGTGTCTCATTGCCAGAAATGGCTGGGTCCTGCAGTGACAGGATTTAAGACTGCAAAGGTGAGAAAAATGTCCCTAAGGAAAGTCCTCTCCCAAACTTTGACAATTTAGTGCAGAAAAAAATGATGGACCAAAATAAAATTAGATAAATAAAAAAGCATTGATAATTTGACATATCTACTGGGAATATTACATAACCAATTAAGATGGAAGTTGCCACCGGGACCCAAAAGTAAGATAGATGACCCTTATAAAGGATGACCTCTTTCAAAGGGAGCAAGAATCTTTTACATATTATAGAAAGTAAACACCCAGAGCAATAACTAAAGAAGGGAAAAAAATCATAAAAATTGAAATATAATATGACATATGTGACTTTTCCAATAAACAGGGAAATTAATATTTTTTAAAAAGAGACCTAAGAATTAAAAGAATTTGTTAATATTTCTCCATAAAATTATTGAGAAATAAAGATGTGCTAGTGTTTGGAAAACAAATCCTGGAGATAAAGCAGTTTAATAAGATATTATCCTCAATTGGAGAGAGACAATTTATAGCATTTCCAGAGTCTAACAGCAGTGCTCCTTAAGAAATTGAACTTCTGCATTCTATTCTATGGTGCGGCCATTTGAGATGGACATTGATATTCATCAGCCCATCTCATACCTTCCCCAGTTACTCTCTGTATTACGCTGTTTCCCAATTGCCATGTAAATCAACATTATCTGAAATTACCTTCCTAATAGTTTTTTATTGGCTGTCTCCCTTTACTAGAATAAATGCCATTAATTCATTAATTTAAAACACACGCACTCTTTAGAAAACAGTGATTTTCAAGTAGCCAATGTTTCGTAAATACTTAAATTTTAAAATGAACAAGAATCATGCTCTGATTTCTGGAAGCTAGAAGGAGGAAATCCTTTGTGGGTAGTTACTTCTGTATTTACCAAGATATAACTTCCAATGTAAAATAATAAGTTGGCATTCTGGATCTTACCTCCGTTTTTTGTGGGCTTAATAAAAGAGAAATGGGTCCCCTAAGACTCATGGTTGCTGAATGATGATACAGTATAAGAGATTTTTTAACCCCCTGCAGTTTCCTAAAAATGAGACTGAGCTATAGCTATTCATCCTGAAGCCTGAAATGGTGAGACCCTTTTATTCTTTCCTACATTCAGTGTTTCTGCCTACAGTTGTCCTAACTCTCTCCCCAAAAAAGTACTGATTAATTAAATCCTAGTGGCATTCAGCAATGAAAAAATAATAAATATGACGAAGTATCATCTCTTACAATGCATTTTTTTTTACCTATTCTTTCCTTCTTTATTGGCTTTTCAAAACTTTTAAAAGATAATAAATAAAGACTCACAGGAAGAGGCCAAGATGTGTGGGGGGGTTTCTTTTACCTTTTTCCCAGTTCTTCCCAGGGGTTTAATTTTTGAATCGTGAACACAGAAACAAAAAGAAGCATGCAATCTGCCTTCACACCTACCAGAATGAGAATAAATCTGGTGCCATTCTTCTTCATTTGCTCTATCAGGACACCGAGGTTTTGAAAGCTAGGGCTGAGGGTGAAGTCCAGCTTCCGGTCCATGTAATCGATGTCCACATGCTGGACGTCCTACAAGAAGGAGCAGATACTGAGGCTCCTGCAGCGGTAGCTGCAGGGCACACTAACTGCTCTTCCAGGCTCCAGACCCTGCTGCTTGCTCCCCCAGCCCCGGCCCTCATCATTTCCCATCTCAATACCCTCTACACTGACTTTGCAATTATGTTGATTGACCTTGCTTTCTGATTCCCGCTCACAATTCACCTGTCCCCACTTTCTTCTTCTGTGCCCCCAACAGGAACTTGCTTTCCTTTCCTTCCCTCAATTTATGTCTTACCCACTCTTCAAATCTCAAATTTGGTGAGCCTATCATACAAAAAGCCAGTGGAAGTGTTCAAGAAAGTGAGACTTCCCTAATAAACAAAAAAAGGTTGCATATCTAAGTTTCTTTTGTTCCTACAGTAAACCTTATCAAATTAAATCAACTTAGAATACATATTTTACTTTAAAATATATATATATATCAGCACGTGTCTACTATATTATAAATAGAATATCTATATATTCAAGAAAGATTTAACATTCTCTAATATTTATTTATTGGTTGTCTCCCTTCACTGAAATAAATGTCTTTTATTCACTAATTTAATGTGTATTATATACATATAATTTATATACAATATACATATATATTATATATGACTTATATAATATATTGTATATAATTTTAAAGACATATAATTCATAGGATTTATATATATATAAATAGCATGATTGCTTTGGTGAGGCAGATCTATGAACTTTTTCATCTTGTGATTTTTCTATATTTTAAAATTTCTGTTTAATAAGTTTATAATAAAAGTTAAGCATGGACATGTGTCAATTTTTTTAAAAAATTTTTTTGTGGTTGTAGATGGACAGAATGCCTTTATTCTATTTGTTAATTTTTATGTGGTGCTGAGGATCGAACCCAGTGCCTCATGTACACTAGGCAAGTGCTTTGCTACTGAGCTATAGCCCCAGCCCTCAAATTATTATTGATGGGAATATCATTGCACTTTATTCTCATCTTCCAGTTGTTAATTGCCTTTAAAAATCTCCGAGGTGAACTGAAAGCCAATAAAGACAATGAGTGGTAGAAAACTAATCAGTAGAGAAGGAGTGCACTGTTTGTGGAATCCAGTTGACCACACTTCTCAGGGCTTTCCTGGGGAACTAGGTAGGTACTTAGGATATGTGTGTGTGTTTTAAAGAAAGCAAAGGGTTCATTTTAATCACTTCCTTGCCTATTGCCACTTCATATCCATTTCACACAGACCCCCGCTTCTAAGACTGCCTTGGCCACTACATGATGTTCCAGCGAGTCAGTGGGTGCCAATACCCTCCACTCATTCCACCAGTGGCCAAAGGATCCATGCAACTCTTAGTTTTGAACCTCGACTCAAAAGGGCAGCAGGCAAAGACTTTAAAAAACAATGTATTCACACAGAACTAGCTCCACAGCTACAGGATTTATGCTGAAGTAGCCACAGTAATAATTTCAATGAAGCTGTTTTCAATAGACAATTAATCACAGAATCCCATAGCTAAACCCAGAGGTTGAGGGAGGGTTTCATACATAGGGGATCTGGGCTGCCACCATTGCATCATGCAGACTGGCGATTTCAGAATCATTCTGGTATCCATAGCGACTCAGCTGGAATCCCAGAGCCCAATATGGAGTCATTGCTGGCCGACCAATCAACTAGAATAGAAGAATGCTAATTACCCTGATAAGATCATTACACATTGTATACATATACCAAATTATCATACCATACCCCATAAATGTATGCAAATGTTATGTCAATTAAAAAATAAAAAATAGATCCAAGTAACTTTGTAAGGAAGAAAAGATAGTTGACTTTTGTTTGAAATAATTTGAAAATTTCTACTGACTACTGTCTGACCTGAGGCCTTCCTCAAAAAAAAAAAAAAATAGGGAAATCAAATAAATGTAGAACAACCCTAGAGATGAAGAATGCTAGAAATATTGTAATTAACATTTCCCTATATTCTATTACACTGTGAAACCTGAGAATGTGGTGGTTATTACTGATCTGAGATTCTTAAGATAGGCTATTTAGCAAGCAATTGAGAGACCTGTAATATTAATATGCATTTAGCATCCATATTAGTAAAATCTGACTTACACCCCAGGGTAAAAAGAAAAAGACTGACCCATCTCAGTACTGAAAACATGGTAACAATACCCAATAAATATTTAGTGATATATCAATGGATAGAATGGCTTCCAACCTCAGTGTATTGCTGAGTTACCAGTTCGGGGGTTGGCCCCAAAACTAAATAAAAGTCCAAAATCCCTCCTACAGTGCGGTATGTCAGGGCAGGAGTGGGCTGCAGAGTCATATCTGTAAAAATTTTAAAATAAAGAGACAGATGAGGAGCTTGTAAGACACCCAGAGAGAGAGAGATGCTCTAAAATGTGCTGTCTTCACTCTCCTTCCTTCATGCCTATCTCCTCTAGAATGTCCTCCCTTGTCCAGTGGAGTCAGAGATGGGCCTGCAGTACCCCAAACTGCATCTACCCCATTATATGACACTCAACAGTTTATATCACCTGCAATAAGGAACTGAAGTGTCACAGCAAAATAAGGGACCACAGTTAGTCAAATGGTACAATTAATGCCTATTCTGGAACAATTTTTAAGTATTGAATAAGTGAACAAATGAATGGAAGGTCAGTTTGTCCATGCCATTTTCCTTGCCCCTTAACTTATTCGTTTCTAGTAATCTCCCAGATGACAATGGAGTGGTCAGGTTGTTTGTGGTGGTGCCCGGGGAGCATGCCCCTGTCTTACCCATGGCATTGCTGTTCAACAGGAGCACTCCATGGGCATTCCCATCTTCTTCCAAGGCCATATAGTAGGGGTGAACACCATAGGAATTTTTCTTGTACTGGTAATTGAAAGTCATGAGAGTAATAGAAAGATAAAAATCCAATAGTTTCCAGATCATAATCCAAACAGCAAACTCATATTCCATGTAAAAGATTTGATACAGCGTTATATCCTTTGTACAACCTTCTTTGACCTTCCTTTCCACCCCAACCTAAAACCTATGTCCTCCCCCTCTCTGTCACCTTTATTGAATATTACATAATTCTTTTTTTTTCCTTGTGGTACTGGGGATTAAACCCAAGGCCTTGCATATGCTGAGCAAGTGCTCTGTCACTGTGCTACCTCGCCAGTCTCTTATATTTTTACTTTTGAGATGGGTCTCACTAAGTTTCCTAAACTGGCCTTGAACTTGTGACCCACCTTCCTCAGCCTTCCAAGTAAATATGCACCAACATGTGTGGCTTATTATTACACAATTCTATCACAGCACTCACTACACTGTGCTATCATTATTTCTACACCAATCTGTCTGTCTATAAACTTTTGAAGGGCAAAGACAGCATCTTATTAAATTTACAGATAAGCATCTAGCAATGTGCTCAAACATTGAATATATTAAATAAAAGTTTGTGAAATAAAATTTGTAATCCATGGGAGACGGGTGGAAAAATATATGTTATGAGTTTGTTTGTTTTACAGATAAAAGAGCATGACCTGTGGCCTCTTGTAACCTTACAACCAAGAGCTAGAAAGATGAGGCTGATAAATGGAACCTCATTTACTGGCCTAAGAATTAAAAGTAAATTTGCCAAAGGAGAAACTGCTAATTTCATTTTTCTCCTTACCGCTGGTGGCTCATCCCGAGCAAATATTCCCCAGGTTGTCCAGTTCATGTTTCTTCTGAAAGTCATGTGCTCAGTTTCCCCAAAACCATAGATGTACTGAGAAGGGAGGCGAGTAGAAATGGAAAGGAACATGTCGTTGAAGGTGAAGCCCGGGAGTTGAGAATCCCAACTGCAACACAAAGGCAGACCTCTAAGCTGAGCTGCAGATCTCAGGCAGAGCAAATGGGATGCCTAGATGATTCAGAAGCCTCTTGAATCATTGCACATCAAGATCCAGGTTCAAATGTTATAAAAGGACCAGGTCATAACAATAGCCATGACTCAGTACCAAGGTTCCATATTTGCATTTTAATTCTGTGCTTTGCAAGACTGAGAGCTCCTTCTCAGAACTATGGGCTCATTGAGGGCAAGTACCAGGTCTCATTCATCTCTTTATGTCCAGTTCTCAGTGCCCGGCATTCCAGCAAATGTGAATAAATGAATGAGATCTAAAAAGTACTTTTGGATAGAAAAAAATTGACACTCTTGGAATAACTTCTCTAGATTGACCAGAGAACTCACTGAAGATGAAAACAGAGAAAATCAGATACATAGTCAAAGACAGCAGAAGCCACACATAGGAAAAAACACAAATGCACATACAAGTGACAACCTTTGCTGGGATGGGGGGGCCTCACCCTGGGCAAAGCCTGGACCTCAAGCATCAGGATAAGTGATGAGAGATGACAATCCACAATTCTTTTCACACTTAATATCATAAAAATGCTTGAAGTCTGTGGTGTCTATAGAACCAAAGATGATATAAGTCCATTTCTCCATACCCACCTCTTTCCTCTCTCCTGCCTCTTCAATTATTATTTCTTAATGAAGCATAATACAGAACAGACATATCTGAGGTTATTTGTTATACTTATTTAAGTTTTCTGTTCTACTTAACAAGAGTAACAAATAGGAAAGATATCTCTTTCTTTGAATTCGAATAACACTTGTGGCTTTTTAAATCTAAGGTTGATTAATCTTTCTGAGTTAATGACTAACATAAAAATAAATTCCCTAATGAAGTAAGAGGAAATTGACATACTCTTTAACAAATACACACACACATCATGAAGAGTCTCTGAGACTAATTTTTTACTTGCCTTAATTAGCAACACCATAATTACCATCAGACACTCTGATTAAAGCCAATAAATAGCACTTACATCACAGTTTGGGAACTTTTGCGTCGAATCTGGATTCCAGGGGGATTGTTCTGAACCCTGACTTCATACAGGCAGTTTTCAGGGGAGACAAGCGGTGAACGTGGTGTGTTCAGAGGTACCGGGACCTCGTACCTTTTATTAGTGGGATCATAGATCTGGCAAGGAGAGAAAAATAAAAAACTCTTCCTGATGGAGTCTGAGACCTGATGTTTGCCCACAGAATTCATTTCCAATGTTGTTTGTTTGTTTTTGACCAGTTTGAACCACATCAGGAGGCACTGAATATCCCAAGCAAGCAGATGTGAGGCCTCCTTATCTACTGTGGCAGATTCTGAGCTTCCAAAATGCCTCAATAATACCCACTCGAGAGAACTTGTAATCTAAGATTATAGAATCTTGTGGGTAGAGTGTGTATATGTACTTAGGATGTGTGCTATATGAACATACATGTGCATGTAACTTCAAGACTGTATGTGAGTGATTGCATGTGTGTGCTGGGAACTAGACCTCTTTACTACTTGAGCTTCCAGATGCTGCATGCCTTCCCAATCCTTCAGGTTTCTCCTTTGTACCCTCTACTCATCCCTACTCATCTAACAGGATTGGTGTGAGGAAACAAAACAAGAGGACTGCAGCATGCATGCAAGACAGGGTCCATCACCACCATGGCGACCACCCCTCCTCATGCTGCTGTTAGCCCACAGCCTGGACTTCAGTAAAGCTTTTCCTAAAGCCCTACTTTTCAAAACTCTGTTTCTTAAACCAAAAACAGCGGCATTGCCTGGGAGCTTGCTAGGAATTCAGACTCAGCCTCTGTCCCAGATCTGCTGGTCAGAACCTTCAGATTCACAGGATGCCCTCAGTGATGGAGGACACACTCAAGTGAGAGGAGCAATGTCAAGGGCAGAGCTGCTCAAGCCTGTGTCCACCAGCCATGTGTGGCTTTTGCGCACCAGAAATGCATGAGTCTAAATCAAGATTCACCACAAGTGCAAACACATACCAGATTTTGATGACTTAATTAAAATGTTGTGAAATATCTCTCCATAATAAAACTTGGATTTCAAAATGAACTGATATATATTTTAGAACATTGGTTAAATAAAATAGCTAATTTACTTGTATGAGTGTGTGTGTGTGTTTCAAACAGTTTTTAAAAAATACCCCTACTAGAAAACAAACTTGGTTCTCATTGTATTTCTGGTAAGTAAAGGACAAGAGTGGGTCTCAAAGTGTGGCCCTTTTACCTGAAGCATCAGTCAGCATTGCTGGAGAACTTAGAAATGCAAATGCTCAGGCTGGGCCAGCCCAGAATGCTGAACTGGAAACCTAGGGTGAGGCTGAGCAGCCTGGGTTTTAACATCTTCAGGTGATTCTGATGCGTGTTAAAGTCTGAGAGCCACTATTAAAGAAATATCTAGAAATTCTGGAAGCCAGTTGGTGCCTCTCATATGTATTAACCACACAGTAAATTCATGTTTTCAGGGCTAAGAATTTTTTGAGAATATTTATGATCTAGAGAATTCATTATTCTAGGAAATTCACAAGCCTGATGGATCTAAGGTCACACCCTGCCTCTGTTATTTACTTCTGACCTTTATCTCTCTAAGGCCTTCTCAGCTCTTGCATCATGAACAGAGAGATTTGGATGAAAAGTCTTTTCATGACTTTCATCTACACACACCTGTAGGTTAAGAACTCACCTTGAAAACCAGGATTGTCACCATGGGAATTACCTTTATCTGCAGCATGCTCTCTGTATGGTAGGTCACACTCAGTCTGAGGAGGCTGATCTTTTCAGAGAGACGATTAGAAACAGTGGCTGCTGCTGGTGATGGTGGAGATGCCGCTGCCCGGGTAGATGCAGGGACCGCCAGGAGGGTAAGGTCGGTGGTGATGCCCGTGGGCAGGTACTGAATGTTACTGGCAGCATAGTTAGGGATGGTGTCATAGTAACAGGTGGGCACACCAGGAGTAGCTGTGGGCTACAACAACAGGAGACGCTCTTGGTCAGCCTCAGACACCATACTCTGAGACTCTAATTACTAAAGAAGCTGGTTAGCACAGACCAAGTCTCAGACTGCTTTGCCCTTTCTTATCTGATGAATCAGGAGCCCCCCAAAGATAATCCCCAAGCCCTGGTACTATGAATGTGACTAGTTGGAAGCAGGGTCTTTGTGCATGATCCAAGTTCAGAAGAGGTCATTAGGATAGGTTCCCATTCAATATGACTGGTGATCAGGAGGGGAAATTTAGACACAGGTGTGAACATGAGGTCAGAGATTGAGTGAAGCATGTGCAATCTAGGAAATGCCAAATATTGCCAGCCTGACACCAGAAGCAAGGCGTAAATCATGGAACAGAACCGACATCACATCCCACAGAAGGAGCCAACCCTGCTAACGTCTTGATCTCAGACTTCTAGAGTCCAGAACTAGGAGGAAATAAGTATGTATTGTTCTAAGTCAATCAGTTTGCGTGAATTTGTTAAAGCAGCCCTACTCAATGAACACAGGTACACTCATTTCTCACACACACACACACACACGCCCCAGCCTTCTATAATGAGTGAATCCTTCAAGAACAGCAGGAAGCCCAGTCTGGAGCCTGGAACCCTGAGGCAGGGTCTGCTCCCAGTGTCCTTACTGCCCTAAATCCCATCTTGAGGAATCCTTAACTCTCTCAGGCTTTCATTCTCTCCATTGTTCATATGAAAGGACCCACCTTCCCTTAACCCTTCTTCTTTGGGTTCTCTAATAGAAGAAAAATAAATTCACTTAAAATACCCAGTGAATGATACAAACCCACTGGACACTATCATATAAAATGGGGTTTTGAATGACATGGCTGGGGAAACAATCAGAATAGCCATGAATCTCTTCTGATTCTGGATATCTGAGGAAAATACGTATCCTGAAGAGTTGACAGATGCATATGGGCACGCTGTCATGGTACTCTTCAGGCCATAAACTTTTAAAGTGTTTTCTTGGTGCTTAATGACTTGTGGGGCAATTTCTCTAAGTTCCTGGTCAACATGGGAGCTTGCCTTTGCTCAATACCTCCCAAAGGCATCCCCGCTGTCTGCAACTCTCCTCAGAGGCAGTAGGATCCTCAGGATAGCAGTTGAACTTCTCCAGATCATTGACTACAAGATCCCACTGTATAGAGAATTCTTGTCCCAGAACCAGTCCCTTGAGATCAGTGATGGTCACCACCTGGGGAAGACAAAGAAGACTCCAGTGACAAATGAGATGAGGTAGAATTATGTGGACAAAGTTAGGGATGGTGTCATAGTAACAGGTGGGCACATCAGGAGTAGCTGTGTAAATACTCTCCAGTACTAGGCTAATGTGTGCAAAGTGATTCCCTGGGTCTTATCCGGGCTCAGCCTGTCTAGTTCTAAATGTCTAGAAAAGAGTTGTCTCCTTTCTTAGGGTTCCAACTCTCATATCTTCTTCAGACCCTAATGTAAGTGAAGTGGTAGGGTTTGGATTTGCATGCAAAAGTTTCCCCTGCACTCTGCCTGTGATGCGGTGGCTGTCTCAAGCCAGTGTCCTATCTGACTGCCCAAAGTCAAAAAAACAAAAAGGGACTATTCTTCAGAATCTCAGAACAGGGCTTTCAGCAAAGACCTATGAGATGGAACAATCTCTCACCTTTGTTGAAGCACTGTAGACAACACTTGAAATGGAGGTGGCGACATTATTTAAAGACACAATAAAATTACTTGGCTCTTTGTCCATTCCCAAGATTCTGATATCTGTAAACATGAGGTTGTCCGGGTCCACATAACCATTATGTATAATCTTTGCCTGTAGACGGTTCTGGAGGGGAAAAGCCAGTTTGGAGTAAGTGTGTCACATTCAATATCTCTCTGGGATCTTATGTGTTTCCCTTTTCTCTGTGTTCTAAATGCTGCTAAGTGTCATCGCCAGGGAGCATCTGACTCAGACTCAAGATCCTAAATCTTTCAATAGTATTTCATGTTTGCTTTGGGCCACTGGCTCTTACTGATTCATTACTCAGATTATATGACCCTGACATTTAGGATGTCTAGTAGACAGGATAGGTTCTTGCAAGGCAAACAGAGATACAAGCACACACAAAGACCACTGGTACACAGATATAGACACACACACACACACACACACACACACACACAATGACTTTTTCTTTTAATTTTAATTAATAATAAGAGCTAAAATTTATGAATGCTTACAATGTTCAAGGCACTGTGCTAAGGTGTTTACATGTATTGCCTCGTTTAATTCTCCCAGCAGATTATGAAGTCAAAATTATAATTATCCCCATTTTTTTAGATGAGAACACTGAAACACAAAGAAATTAGATAACTAATTTAGGGAGCCAGAGTTTAAAAGCAACAGAGCTGAGTTCAACAAAGAAAGTGGGACTGAACACTAAAGAGCAAAGGGACACTTGGATGGTTGCAAAGAAGTCCCACATAATGTGCCTGATACCTGACCGAGGTTCAATGGCGACACAAGAGAGAAAGGATGGCCAACTCAACAAGGGTGACAGGGCAGCTGGTTGTGCACAGGCAAAATGTTGAACCTGGCCTAAATCAAAATGGATCAAACAGAACACGGACTTAAATGTAAAAGTTAAAATTTTAAAATCTTTAGAAAAAAAATATAGGAGGAAAATACCGAGTATCTATGGCCAGTAAAAGATTCTTAGAAAAAAAATATTCTTAGATATTATACCAAGAGCATAATCTATAAAAAAATATAATGAGAAATTAGACTTATCAAAAATTTTAAATTTGCTTTGTGAAAGACTACTAAGAGAAAAAGTATTGCTAAACTTCGTGTTTGACAAAGGACTGATATTGAAAATATGTAAGAACTCTCAAAACTGAACTGTTAAAAAAATAATGTCAAGGGCTGTGGTTGTGACTCAGTGATAGAGCACTTTCCTAGCACATGTGAGGCACTGGGTTCGATCCTTGGCACCACATAAAAATAAAGAAAGAAAATAAAGGTATTGGATCCATCTACAAGTAAAAATATTCTTTTTAAATGACAAAATAATTCAATTAGAATTTGGGCAAAGAATCAAACAAACATTTCATTGAAAAGAATTTACAAAATGGCAAACAGACCAACATCATTAGACGTTAGAGAAGTACAAATTAAAGCTGCAATGAGATATCATCACACACTTTTCAGAATAGCTAAAATGAAAAATAGCAACAACATCAAGTGCAGGTGATTATGCAGATACTAGGTCATTCATATCTTGCTGGTAGAAATGCAAAGCAGCCCTTCCACTTTGGAAAACAGTTTGGAGGTTTCTTATAAAACTGAACATGGGACAGGCACTGTGGGGCACACCTGTAATCCCAGTGGCTTGGAAGGCTGAGGCAGGAGGATCATGAGTTCAAAGCCAGCCTCAGCAACTTAGCAAGGCTCTAAGCAACTCAGCGAGCCCTGTCTCTAAATAAAATATAAAAAGGGCTAGGGATGTGTCTCAGTGGTTGAGTGTCCCTGAGTTTAATTCTTGGTACCAAAAACAAATAAAACATCACCACCAACAACAACAACAAATAAAACTAAACATGGACAAATAAAAGACCCAGAAACTGGACTCTTGAGCATTTGTCTCAAAGAAATGAAAAGTTCTATTTTATATAAAATCTGTACATGAATTTCCATAGCAGTTTTATTTATTTAGAATAGCCCATGACATGAGATGCTCAAGTCCCAGTGCCAACCTATATATGGGTATATTCCAGATTCCCTTTATCAAATGAGTAATACCTGGAAACTACTCATATATAAATAATATGACAACATGGAAGAATTTTGAGAAGATTATGATAAATGAAAAAGCAAATTTCCAAATTTACATATACTACCTAATTCCATTTACATAAGATTCTTAGAAGAACAAAATTACAGAAATGGAAACAGATTATTGGCTGCCAGGGACTACAGAAGGAGGCAGGTGGGTATGGCTATAAAAGGGAAAGAAGAGGGATCTTTGTAGTGATGGAGATGCTCTATGTTTTGAAAGAATCAATGCCAATAACCTGGCTGTAAAATTATTCAACAATTCTATAAGATTAAAGGAACTGTGTACAAGGTGCATGGTAGCATTGTGTTATGTATTATAACTGCATAGGGATCTTTATCTCAAAATGTAAGTTTAATTTTTTAAAAAAATTGTGGATTTATAAGAAAAGAGAAAATTTATAAGAAAAGAAAAAAAAAGATAGAGATACTTATAAGAGAAATATCTGTACACACATAATTGGACTTCCAAGAAAACCAAATTAGAATTCTCCCACTTTCTATCAGCCTTGTGGCTTTTCCCTCTCCTCAGGCCCTTGGGAAATGGAGGGAGGCAAGTGATGTTCTGTACTTTCCAAACTTTCTAAGCCACCACTGGATGCCTGTGCTCAAAGGCAAGTTTTAGGGACTCAGAAGGAAAAGAGAACCTCAACAAAGCACTTCACTCATCAACCACACTGTATCCCACACACTCTTGCACCCCTCTGAAGGACACATCTTAGAAGTCCTGACTAGTCACCTAAATCAAATGCAATGATATTATATATATATATATATATAATTTCTGCATACAACTCAGAATTTTTTCAGAGCTTATTATACATCTGACACAGATTAAACACTTCAGTGTTATCTCAAATCCTTTCTAGGACATACAGTCAAACGTTGCTATTTTATGTGACCAAGCATCTATAGAACACCAAAAACTCAAACAGCAACCTCAGCAAGGAGCATCAAGTGTGTGTGTGTTTCATGAAAATAGTACTTACAGAAGTAACAGAGAAATCATACAGAATATACATATTATTAATTACAGCATCTGAAAGAGAAAGATAGATGCAGGTCCATCACCGTGGGCAGCAGAGGAGTCTAGCTTTTCTCTTTACCTGAAATACCTTTGCATCTAATCTGCACATTTTTGTCAACAGCCACAGAAGTTTCTTGGAGCACTTTCTATGAATTCTTATTACTCTTTGTGGTACTGTTATGCTGGAATTTAATACAGTTTGAATTGCATTATAGTTATCCACTTGCTTAGTACGTATCCTGCTAGAATATGGCTTTCCCAAGGTACATTTTATATCACATTCTTGTGCATATGTCTTGTTTATTATGTATTACTAAATAGCAAATAAATATTAACAGTTATGACTTCATTCAAGGTGGAATTTTTATATAATCCCTGGCTAAAAACTTGTGAGGCATTCATATGAAAAGCTTAAAATGTAAAAGCACACTACAAACTAGATTCATCTGCCTCAAGAGTGACTGAATCTGTACTTTACAAAGATGTAAGCAAAATGTATTGTTTTGCATAAATGATGATATTCAGAGAAGAGAATAAGTAAACTAAACAAACTGATGTCTGTTGCTTTGGAAGGGTCCAAAACACAGAAGTTGGACATTTTGAAGTCATTTATGCGCTGTGTGTGGCTAATGGAACCTATCAGAATGAGTTCTCACTCAATAATTATAAGCTACAGAAATAAACAGCATGATAAGAGTGCCTTACTGGGCAGCCTTCAGTAATTCGCTCCCACTGAGGGCCACAGAGATGGCCCCAGGAGGAAGTGTACCTTTAGTCACACCGTCATCCCAGTACAGCTCTCCCTTGGCTTCTCTCTTATAGTCCAAGGCGACAATGAGTCCCAGGGAATTCTTCCGGCTGAGAAAAGTAGTTCCCAGTTTCAGAGAATGAAGAAGAGAGGGATCCATGTGAGACCAGACCCCTTGATGTCCCAGGGACAGATCCTCCCAGAGTCCATCCCAGAAACTTAGTAGATCCTAACATTGTGTGCAAACATGGAAATTGAGTGTAAGCAGACAGCAGAAGTTAATAGAGTGATTGTAAGATTGACTGGTGGAGGGACGCAGTGCCTGCTGGAAGTTGGTTTGCAATCAGCCTAACAGTGAATATGTATTGGGTGCTTACCATGTGACAGGCACTCTTGTAAATATCCTACACGCATTGTCATCTGTATCAATCCATTTAACAATCACAGCCATGCTAAAAAAGTCAGACTATCATCCTCCCCAGTTTACCAATGAAAAGCGTAAGTACAGAAAAGTGAGGTGCCCAGGGTATATATATTGCAGAGCCAGGACTTGAACTCAAACTGTCTGTCTCCAGAATCTGAGCTCCTGAACTCGAAGCTATGTTGACATTCACGCAATCACCCTTTATCTCCTTCTGAATTTGTATTCTCCCACACAATAGGGGATTTACCTGAGGATAATTTCTGGCCAGAGGGAAATCCTCATGGATTATTGTTTTGCTTATCCCTATAATTTAATTTAATACAAGTGTAAAGAACTATAGAAAATGTAAAGGGACTGAGGCTACATTTGCTACTGCCCAATGAGGACTCAGAGGACAATTTGGAGCCAACATTGAAAGGAGGAGAGGAAGACTGCTTCCTGGCACTATTTCCTTGTCCACCTGCTCTCGGCCTCTACTGTCTCCCTCATAATGCCATGTCCCACTAGAGCACCAAAGTAGTCATGTCCTAGAAGACACAAGAGCTTACTTACCTGGTTTCTGTGGTTGTGTTCGGCTGCTGGATGGGAAATATGTAGCCTCCTCGAAGGTGAAGCCCAATTCTGTCACCTGGGAGTAGCATATCCACAAATTGCTTTCTCCACTGGATGGCATCTCCCTAATCCACAAAAGGAAACAGAACGTGAGGACTACGAAGAACCTTGGAGATCATCCAGTTCAATTGCCTCACTTTAAAGAAGAGAAAAATGGAGACTTCCAAAATGAAGTGACTTTCTTGAGGTATATAGAGAACAGAACTGAGACTCCAATCCACACCCTTCCTTTACGGCATACCATACTGTACAACGCACTTGGAATCAGGATGTTCCCAAAGGTCCACGTGTTAAAGGTTTGGTTCCAGCATGGATCTATTAGTAGGGGGTGGAAACTTTTAGTAGGTGGGGGCCGCCTTGGTGAGAGGTTTTAGGGCATTGTTGGTGTATACTTAAAGGTCTCTACCTCTTCTTTTTCTCTCTTTCACTTTCTGGGCATGAGTTGAGAGGTGCCATCACAGGCCCAAAGCATAAGGCCAATTAATCATGGACTAGAACCTCTGAAACTACAGGTGAAATAAACCTTTTCTCTTTATAAGGGGATCATTTGGTGCACTTGTTATAGTAACAGAAAACTGACTAACACACCACAATTCCCCCAACTGAGCTTGAGTTCTTTATATTATCACAGATAAAGGCCAATAACTGCACAGGTCCAAGAATTAAAGAGTAAATTTCCAAAAAACCTACTCCAGCTATTCAAATTATTTCACTGTACATTTTAAAAAGTCTTCTACTATGATCTTAGTGTCAATGTCCTCCTGAAACTCATATTTTGTAACCTAATATCCTATTGTGGTGATATTAAGAGGTGGGGCATTTGGGTAAGTGCTTCAGTCAAGAGGGCTCAGTGAGAAGTGCCATCAATGAAGAAGAGGGAGCCCTCACCAGACACTGCCTCTCCTACTGCCTCCATCTTGGACTTTCCAGCCTCTAGAACTTGGGTGATAGATCTTGGTTGTTTACAAATTACCCAGTGTAAGGTATTTTGTTATACCATCCTGAATGTACCCACAATCAATTAAATGTAAAACCTCATATGATTATCCTACCCCAAGCCCTCAAGACTGCTGGCATATAATTGCTCTCTGCCAGAGGCAATTTCTGAGACAACTGGAGTCACTGCACTTACTGTCTCGTAGTCATACCAGGTGGCATCTGGAATGTATGCTCTTACTTGGTCTGCACCCTAGGGAAATGAAAAGGAAAAGCAAGTTTACCCAACGCTTCCACATCACTGCACGTCATCATTTGAACAACCCTGGGAGACAGCGGGGATCATCCACTCCACTAATAAAAACTACAGAAATCCCGAGAGGTTGGGCAGTTTATTCAAAGCAGGGTTGTATTTAGAAATTAAGTCTGTAATGCTTGTGCATTTTCTAGGAAAAGCATAGAAAGTTCATACACTGAGTCATGCTGGGTGGAGATGAGCCAGCCAGACTCCCAAAACAAAAACCCAGCTCCTGTGTTTATAAGCAGGTGTACTCAAGTCTGATCCTTCCCCGACCTTCCCCACTCAGCCCTGCCCCAAGTCACACTTCAGGAAAATGCAGGTGGTCCTCCATGCAGGGACCTCAGAGTAACACTCCCACCTTTGACCATCCCTCTGTTTTCCCTCCCTGCTCTTCAACATATCCAAACTTTCTTCTCAGCCCAACCCCAAAGCACACCCTTCTGGATATCAGGAAACACACATGTCAGCATCCACACACACCAAGGTATTTAAAACCCACATCAATGCCATGCTGAATGTCTAATGACACAGGTTGTGAGGCAATTTTTCAAGATGAAAATCATTTTCCTTGGTGGGTCAATGAACCAAGAATACTCTTTTCCTATTTCTAAACCGTTATGGTCTCTCTTATTTATATACATAGTCAGATTTAAATACAATCATAGGTGCTCAGGACCTGGTTCATTCAGCTGGAATGCAACAAGGACAAGTGTGATATCCCACCCCGTCGTTCAGGTTACAAACATACTTCATACAGGACAGGTGTGATGAGGAGTCCAGGCCCCCACAAGAACTGCTCATGCACTTCCCACGTGGCTGGGTCCTGGTAGAACCTAGAAAAGAGAGACTCGGTGAGGCATGCGCAATTCCCAGCACAAGACAAGAGCACCTGACGTGTCCTAACTCACCTTGTTCCCATTAACAAGACAAATGAGACGGCTATCTGAAGGGGGTTCTCTGAGGGTTAGGAAACTCACTCATGTAACAGGGGCCTTGCTACTGTCTGCCCCTGGGTGTGAGCGCGGTAGAAGAGGGTGTAGAGATAGGGCAGCAGAGTGTATCGGATGTTCAGATAATGTCTGGAGGAATTCAGCAGCAGGGACTCAGAACCAAAGGCAGCAGGATCCTGGTCCTAGAAGAATATGGAAGCAATGACTGAGTTGTTTTTTCCATCACCATTTAAAAGTCCCTTTGTGACTGGTTTTCCCAGGTGACAGGAGCAATGTACCCCAACTTGGAGGATATCAAATCATTTCCATAACTGAAAGATTCTTGACCCCACTCCTTCGTTGTGCAGCTAAGGAAGCACCATCAAAGGTCACACGACTTCCTCAATGTGGAATTGCAAGCAGGTGGCAGAACTTTCATTTGGCACTTGTCTTCTGAGGGCAGACGAGAGCAGCCCCGGTGGCCAAGAAGCCCACAGAGTTGCAATGGTCATAAAGGGGCCACAGTGGGCCTTGCTCCCCCACAAACTGCTCTTATTTATTGAGGGTTTTTATAATATTTATTTGGAAGATAATAATAATAATAAATTGTACTAAACTGAGTTGCACTACTAAAATAATTTAAAATCCATTTCCCTAACCATACTGCTTACCACCATGATCTATAATTCATTTTTTCTTTTCATGTATTTTAACAAATTTTCCAATTTAAAATATTATATCATTTCATCTGTCATATTTTCACCATCACAACTTATTTTATTTTCTCTAGCCTGAAGATAATGACCTCTATTTGTTCTTAGATGTAAAAGGTGTGAAGAAACCACAAGGCCAGGTTTTAGCAGATTTTTTTCCAAGAGCAAGAAAGGAACCCATTAGAAGAGAAATCTACTCTTCTTACCACCCAGAGACAGAAATTTTCCATCAATGGCTGGCACTCATTTTGTGATGATTTCATTAAAATTTGGAAAATGTAAAAGTTTTGCATGTCATATTTAGACCTGTCATCTGGTAACATAGGACTGGTAAAGCCAGAATTAGAAGGCAGATAGCCAAGGGAATGGAGGGATTGAAATGTTAATTCCTTCATAGCTCTTCCTCCATCCTTGTCAAAAAGGTGCCCCTGCTCCAACCTGTTGCTAAGGTAATCAGTCCCAGGAATTGTCCCTCCCTACAGGGAGTTGTAAAAATTGCTAATTAATTTGCCCTGGGCCCCCCTCCTGCCTGGATCACTCCTCCCAGCCTCTTCATCTTTGGCCATCTCACTGAGCATTTCCTGGGCCTAGTCACAAACACAGGAAGGAGAGAGATAAAGGGAAGAGAGCAGGAGAACAAAGGAAGCCTAGGACATATAAAAACTCAAAACACCTTCACTTCTAGGGATACCAGGGTACCAGCTATGGCCCCCTCCTCCCTCCTGGCAGAAGTCTATGTTACCCCTTTATAAATAAACCCTGCTTTATACCCTTGCCTCGGCGTGCTTCTCTAATGCTCAAACTTCAACATATGGGGAAGCAGGACTCATCACCAGTAACCAGTGGTATCATTGGGAGTAAATTTTGGAGGAAATTACCTGAATTCACTGCTTTCCTTTGTTCGTGCTCTGCAAATAGAACTATTATATGTATTCAGTATGGGGCTCATAAGAACCCTGAGGCCAAACACACACAAAAAACCAGTACTCCACAGCCTCCACCTCCTTGGTTTCCAACTGAGAAAGTCTAGAACTGTGCTGTTCACTGTGGTAGCCATGAACCACATGTCTACTGGACACTTGAAATGTGGTCAATAAGACTGAGAAACTGAACTTTTAATTTTATTTGTTTATGGCCGATTTAAATATAAATCTAAACACTGAATCAATGTAACATAGTTTCCATTAAACAAAGCTCCATTGTTTTGATAGAACTGTTTTACTTCAACTGCTAAAAATTTAACTAATACAAATTAAGTTGTAAAAATATACACTGAATTTTGAAGGCTTGATAGAAAGGAATATAAAATACCTCATTAATAACAGTTTTTGTATATGGATTTCCAGTTTTCCCAGCACCATTTGTTGAAGAGACTATCTTTTCAACCCCTATCTCTCACCATGCACAAAAAAAAAAAATCAAAGTGGATCAAAGACCTAGGAATTGAACCAGAGACGCTGCGTCTATTAGAAGAAAAAGTAGGCCCAAACCTCCATCATGTCGGATTTGGCCCCAACTTCCTTAATAAGACTCCTATAGTGCAAGAATTAATATTAAAAATCAATAAATGGGATAAATTCAAACTAAAAAGCTTCTTCTCAGCAAAAGAAACAATAAGTGAGGTGAATAGAGAGCCTACAATTTGGGAACAAATTTTTACCACACACACATCAGATAAGCACTAATCTCTAGGATATAAAAAGAACTTAAAAATCTTAACACCAAAATAACAAATAACCCAATCAATAAATAGGCCAAGGAACTGAACAGACACTTCTCAGAAGATGATATATAATCAATCAACAAATATATGAAAAAATGTTCAACATCTTTAGCAATTAGAGAAATGCAAATGAAAACTACCCTAAGATTTCATCTCACTCCAGTCAGAATGGCAGAATAAAAACAATAATAAGTGTTGGCGAGGATATGGGGGGTAGGAGGAATACTCATTCATTGCTGGTGGGACTGCAGATTGGTACAGCCAATATGTAAAGCAGTATGGAGAATCCTTGGAAAACTGGGAGTGGAACCACCATTTGACCCAGATATCCCACTCCTCGGTCTATATCCAAAGGACTTAAAAACAACATACTACAGGGACACAGCCACATCAATGTTTATAGCAGCACAATTCACAATAGCTAAACTGTGGAACCAAGGAACCAACCTAAGTACCCTTCAGTAGATGAATGGATAAAGAAAATGTGGTATATATACACAATGGAACATTATTCAGTATATAAATTTAAAAAAAAGAATAAAATCATGGTATTTGCAGGTGAATGGATGGAGTTGGAGAATATAGTGCTAAGTGAATTAGCCAGTCCCAAAAAACCAAATGCTGAATGTTTTCTCTGATTTCAGGATGCTAATTCATAATGTGATTGGGGGGTCATGAGAGGATTAGATAAATTCTAGATAGGGCAAAAGGGAGGGAGGGGAAGAGAGCAGGCATGGGGGTAGGAAAGATGGTGGAATGAGGTAGACATCATTACCATAAATACATGTATGAAGACACAAATGGTGTGACTCTACTTTGTGTACAACCAGAGATATAAAAAATTATGTTCTATATGTGTAATAGGAACTGCAATATATCTGCTGTCATATATAACAAATTAAAATTAAAAAATAATAGCTTATGTAAAACAGGTTGATAATGTTTTGTATATTGCATTACGTAAAATACATTTAAGATATTCCCTGTTTCTTTTTACTTTCTAAATTTAACGTTAGACTGGCATGTGTAGCTCTTATTACAATCCTATTGAAAAGAGGTAGCATATGAGAAAGCAAGCTAACATTCTAATCTAGCCACCTTGGTGAGCTGAGTGCTCTTATCTAAGTCATTTCAGTCCATCTCTTTGTGAAGAGCACCTGCCTTCTGTGCTCCCAGCCACCTTCTTGAACATTCAGAAATAATTCATCTCTCTCTAGACCACAAGCGGCTAGGAAAGCCAGGGATAAAATGTGTTGGAGGGTTGACAGTTGTTAGAGTTTAGATATGAGGTTTCCCCGGAAAGCTCACGTGTCAGACACTGCAAGGAAGTGGACAAGTAAAATGATTGGGTTATGAGAGCGTTAACCTAATCAGTGCATTGATCCAGCTCAGTGGATTAACTGAGGGGTAACAGTAGGCGGTTAGGGTGTAGCCAGAGGAGGCAGGTCGTTGGGGGCACGCTGGGGAATATATTGGTCTTTTTGAGGGGAGTGCTCCCTGTTTCCTTGTGGCCACGTCCTGAGCTGCTCTGCTCTTCCACACCTTTCCTCCATGAAGCTTCACCTTAGGCCTAGAGCAATGGAGTTGGCTGTTTATGGACTGAAACCTCTGAAACTATGAGCCCCAAATGAGTTTTTCCTCCTCTAATTGTTCTTGTCAGGTCTTTTGGTCACAGTGATGAAAAAGTTGACTAAAACAATCGTTAGTTCTTCCAGGTTAGAGACCGTCACTGTACAAAGTCAGGAATTGGAGATAAAATGATTGCTAGGACATGACTGTAATGAGACTACTAAATGTGAACCCACTCAACTTGAAATATTTCAGTTGCAGATTATTTCATTAAAACAAAGGACAACCCACCTTGCTTATTTCTGCTGTGATTATAAACATCTCCTTAAGAGGGACTCTGAAGCCACTTCTATATACTTGCCCATCAAAAATATCATTTTGTAATCCCACTCATGAGGCTGAAGGAAGATGGCAAGTCCATTTCTAGCCTTGGCAACTTATCAAGACCCTGTCTCAAGAATAAAAACTAGGGCTGGGGTTGGGGCTCAGTGGCAGATCACTTATCTCACAAGTATGAGGCACTGGGTTCGATCCTCATCACCACATAAAATAAATAAATAAAATAAAGGTATTGTGTCCATATACAACTAAAAAAAAATAAAAAGAAAAGAATAAAAACTAAAAAGGGCTGGGGATACAGCTCAGTGGTAAAGCATCCCTGGGTTCAATCCAAGAATCACCCACACTTAAAAGATGGAAAAGGATAAAGGTTGCATGAATCATGGGAAGTAGTAGAGAGGTGTTCTTCCAAACTATTCATAAAAACATACAAAGTGAAAAAGTATTTCAGATCACTGGTCTGCCTGTCCCTAAATCCTTCTCCTTTGCTCTACCATATCTATGAGTGGTTTCCATTTTATTAAACAAAGTAAGATTCTAATGAACTCCAATTGTCTCAGCTCCTGTAAGGGGACAACAAAGGTGACAGAAGCACTATAGAAGCTTTAACCAATTTTCTCACTTTTGTGGGTGAGTTTCCAACAATAAAATCATTTAATATATAGGCATGCCCCTTCCCACCCACTCTTACCCTGATACCCTGTGTTTCAGGTGCATCTTGTAAGATTTACCTATCCTTTTTCTGTAGTGAGGATTAACTATAGACTCTCCCTCAACCCCTCTTTGAAAACAAACAAATGAGACAATAACTTCTCCGCCACTTCTCCGGGAGATCTTACCCTGAACCCAGGCCCATTGTGATTCCTTGATAGTGGATAAAATGCTCCAAGTTGCATCCACCTTCTGCAGAGCTCCTCTGTGATGTTTTCTTTATAACCACAGATGTTGGCACCTACCTGGAGAATCAGCACACAGACCAAAATGTTAGTCACTGAGAGAGGTAAAAGCACTGACTGTGTACTTCTATGATAAAGAAAAAGGAAATATCACATTGGCATTAGAGATTCCATAGTCCCAGGGCAAGACCACAGACAAATGAGAGAAACAAAGTGTGTATCACAGGATAGACTGAGCAGACTGACTGGTAACATTGATCATGGTCCCTATATAGAGGACTCTTCCTCAACATTCAGTTCCCAGTTTCATTCTTCCCTATTCACTGATGCTCTCCTGGTGGGATTTTTTCTGTAATACTAATGCAGTTCACTCATGGGATCTCTTTCCCATCTCCAGAGACTCCATGGGTGACAACACAATGATCAATTTTTAACATCCTATCTTCAGAAGACAGCTTACACCACCCAGAGAAATTTATTTTTTCCAATACATATCTCAAAAGACATGTGCTCCTTAGTTTTTCAAAGACCCTCAAAGACTGATAATGGAAGGAGTGTCCAAGGACAAAGGGTTGAAGTTCCTTGGCTAGGAATGAGGCTCACCATGGGGATGCCAAACAGGTTGAATTCAAGGATACCAGGGATGGACCATCGGAGATCATCCCATGTAGCCGCATTGTCCCCCAGCCAATGAGCAGCAAATTTACCAGATCCAGCGAAAGTAGAACGGGATAAGATGAAGCTCCTGTTATTGGAGAAGATAGTCTCCATGGCCCTGAAAAAGAATGCATTCAGTTGAGTGTGAGGTGAGTTGTGAGCATTTAGAACCCACCTTGCCTCGTGGGAAGTAACAGGCTTTCCAACCAAACTGAAATAAAACCTCAGGATATCAAAAACTAGGTGTGTAAGCAGACCAGCCTTTTTAAGAGCTCCTTTCCCACTTCTTTTTTTGTACTGGCGATTGAACTCAGGGCACTCGACCACTGAGCCGCACCCCCAACCCTATTTCTTTTTTTTTAAAATTTTTTTTATTGTTGGTTGTTCAAAACATTACATAGTTCTTGATATATCATATTTCACACTTTGATTCAAGTGGGTTATGAACTCCCATTTTTACCCCGTATACAAATTGCAGAATCACATCAGTTACACATCCATTGATTTACATATTGCCATACTAGTGTCTGTTGTATTCTGCTGCCTTTCCTATCCTCTACTATCCCCCCTCCCCTCCCCTCCCCTCTTCTTTCTCTACCCCCTCTACTGTCATTCATTTCTCCCCCTTGTATTATTTTCCCCTTTCCCCTCACTTCCTCTTGTATGAAATTTTGTATAACCCTGAGGGTCTCCTTCCATTTCCATGCAATTTCCCTATTTATTATTTAGAGACAGGATCTCACTGAATTGCTTAGCACCTTGCTCTTGCCGAGGTGGACGTTGAACTCATGATCCTCCTGCCTCAGGCTTCCAAGCCACTGTGATTACAGGTGTGCACCACTGTACCCAGCTCCTTTCCCACTTCTGAGAAAGATTTCACATCTCATATAAGACTGTGAAAACCACTCTCTTGTAACCCCAAAAGAATTTCTCCAGGCTCCTGTCCTCCTGACTATGCTTTCTCCATCTTGTTGGATCAGGCTTTGGTCCAAACCCTTTGATTGACAATATATTGTAACTGTGTGTTAGGTTGTTGGACCCATCCTCTCTCTCCAGACAGTTTTTCTAACATCCCTGGATTCCATGCCTTGCTGCCCACCACAATCTTGTGTAGCACAATGCCAGTTCAGGTTGGAACTCTGTCTTCACTTCCTCTTGGCATAGACTTGCAGACACTTCACCCTTTTTACCCCTGGCTGGAGGTTTATTGCACTCTGCAATTATTGATCATGGAAGAAACACATTCAACCCACTTAGACTGAAACTGAAACAGAGATGGAGGTGGCTAAGGTTATGGTTAGAGGCAGGCCATTATGGTAACCCAGATTAGATAGCAGTCAGGTTCTTCCAGGCCAAGAAAAAGCCTCTTCGAGATCCTTAAGTTTCTCTTTCCCCTCCTCCAGGTCTGGCCTTTTACAATCAGGTCATATCTCTGGGAAGATCTGATATTTTAGCCTAGAGGAATGTGAATTTCACTCCCTGAGCCCAGTAACCATTGTCCCCAAACTATCCTTCCAGTTAAGTTTGCATGAAAATCTACATCGACTTCTCTTCTCCTGATGTACAGATCCCATTGAATAAAAATCTTGCCTCTTTTTAAATGTAACTCTGCCTCATGTCCAAAGGCCAAGTCCCATATATCTGCACTGTTCTCAGGGAATATAGGTGATCCTGCCCAACCCAGGGAAATTAGAAAAGTCCCCTCTACTTTATCAGTCACAGTTACATTTTAACTATTAGTCATAATTATTCAAATATATTAATCCACACATTCAAGATTTTATAGCACCTTTATCACATGAATACATGGGCAATAAAGCAATTTGAAGCTTTCCTGACTCTTTCTGACCATTTAGTCACTTGCCTTCCCACCTCCCATTCTTAAACAGAAGCATCTAAGAGTTGGAATATATCAGAACAGGGAGGGACTATTGGGAATATCTATTCAAATCTTTCATTTTAGAGATGAGAAAATTGAGTCTTACTCACTAGTTTATGTTCCAACGGAGGTGGTATGAGAAAGAAAAAAAGTAAGAAAGAGAACATAACAAAATCAGAAATAGATATCCTTCTTTTTGGAACTTTGCTTTCACTGAGAATCAAATTTGTGCATTTACTGGTCAAGAACTCTCTCCCCTGGACAATCCAGGGTACTGCAAAGTCCTGAAGACAGCATAGTGTTAGGAAACGGCAGACCCAGTCTCACCTCTAATTCATCAGGTCCCCTGTGTGTGCACCTTGCTCTTCCTTTTCTCATATCTGTTCCACCAAAATATCCTCAAAGCTCACACTATTCACAAAACTAAAGATACAGAGGTTGGTTGCCCTCAAGGAATTTATTCAGCAGGAAAAAAGAAATGACCATCTAAAAATTATGATATAATATTGTTGCATATTAACCATATTGCAATATGTGACAATGTAGTACAAAAGAGGAGAAACAGCATTTTCATAGAAACGTTAGGAAGTTTTCCAGATTGTACATCTGAGGTGAGATATTATAGATATGTATGTGTTCACAAAATGGACAGCACAAGGAAGGCCATCTTGTGCTGGGCAAGCACCACATGGAAAAATGAATAGCATTCAGAGTTGGGAAAAACAAGCAGCAATATATTCCATAGCATAAAGTATGAGTGCAAAGAATGCAAAAAAAAATAATTAGACTATGATGGACCTTACAGGTTGTACTAAGGGATTGGATTTTATCAAACAAAAGTCAGAAATTTTACATTGACAAAGAAATGAGAAAACTCAGCCTCTCAGAAAGATGACTTTGACAGCAGTGTAGAATAATACTTTCAAAACTTCAACACATATTCGATACACCCATAGTTAAAATGAAGATTTTGATTCCCAAGTTCTAGATAGAGGTCTGAAATGTGGCACTTTCAGTACATCCCCATTGATGCTGACATTGCTGGTCCTTGGATCACACTCTAGAGAGGGCAGAGGATAATTTACTAGAGATAAGGATTAAGTCAAGGAGAATGGTCATAGATCAAGTGGAATGATCTACATGAGAGATGATGATGACCTCAGTTAAGAAGTGGCTGGGGGATAAAATGGGACATGGTTATGGTAGTGTTTCAAAAGTAGAATAGAAAGATCAAGAGCTGATTTGATTTCTTATGAGGGCATTAGAAAAAGGATGATGCCAAGTTTCTCACTTGAGAGTCTGGGAGATAAGGATGGTATTACTACCAACCAAGATAGGGAATTCAAGAGTTTCAAAAATGATTAGCCAGAGTGTGGAAGAAAGCCAGGTGAATGGTGTGAGAAGTACTATAAGACATACAAGTAGAGAAGGTCAGAAGGTAGTTTGGGATATTTGTGTCTGAAAATCAAGGAGGAATCTCATACAGAACTATAGATTGTAAAGTAAAGCAAAACCGTTGAAAGGAATAAATTCCCTGTGCTAGCATAGAATGGAAAGAGAAGCCTGAGGATTGATCTCTAAGACTCATTCCTGAAAGAGTAGACAGAAAATATCCAGATAAATGCAGACACGGATGTGAGAAGGAATAGCAGGAAAGAGAGAGATGCCAGCTAGAGTCGTGTCTCAAGAACTAACACAACAGGTTCAAAGGAGAAGTTGTGACTTCAAGTGTCACAGATACAGAAAAGTTGAATGAGGTAAATAAAGGCTGAGACATGTCCCATGAGCACATCAAAGTCCCCTCCCCTTTGTCCCCACAATGGCGTTGCAGAAATACCAGACCAGGAGACAACAAGAGGAAGACTGAGACTTTAGCTCTTCCCTGAGCCACTGGAAGATCTCCAATAGCCCTTCCAGCATTTTGGTTTCCCCATCTCTGCTGAAAATCTAAAATTAAAGTTTTCTTAAGTTGAACCCCAAATTTCTTGCTATCTTGGTTATAATGATTATATTTCATCATCTTCAAAAGAGAAATTGGGTGGAGTAAAAGGGGCTATTTATCAGTTTGCAAAGTTATCCTTAATAAAATTCATGTGGCAAAGTGGGTGAAGGATGGAATGCTTTACAGAACACACCTGTCTCCTTAACAGACTTTCATAATGGGTGGTGCTGATGGTGCTGATGTGGTGGTGGTGATGGTAGTGGTTGTAGTGGTGTGGACATTATGTGTGTGTGTCTGTTCAGATAAGTTCAGATAAGTCTGAACTTCACATAAACAATATTTTAGTATGCTCTGTAAAATCTTGTTACCCTGTGTTTTTATTAGCTAAAATCAATCCCTGATCCATAAGGCAATCCAGATTAATCCGATACAGAAACCAAAGGTTTGTAGGAGAGAACTTCTTAAGTACCCAGCTAGAACAGTTTCTATATGCTTGTATTCAAAACAATATTTGAACAATATACTTATGGAACACAAGAGAAATCCTCCACCTCCCACTTCCCCAAATCTGGAATGAGGGAGAAAATCGAGTTCTTACGAGTGTGTGGCTCTTGCCATGGAGTGGCCATACAAGCTGTGGACATCATAGTGAAGGCCCCAGTAAAACTCTGTGTCCATGCAGAGAGTTCTTGCAAACAGTAAGTGGTCTAGAATGCCTGGGGGGAAACACCCATCAGTAAGGCAAGTCTCCATCAATCGACTTTAACAAAATAGTCACCCAATGTTTTTCTTCCTGGTTGCTGTAACTTCCCCACCAATTTCCACCTGACAACATCTTGTGTAGATCTTAAATTCTATCCTAAATACCACTTTCTATTGGGAGCCTACACTGACCACCCAGAGGTCATTAAAAATAATTTGTGTTCCCTTGAGCTCATAAAGGATGGCGTTGAGTGGAGGTAGCTGGAAACCCTTCTCAGAGCAATATGCAGTTAATCTGAGATTAAACATATAGCACACACTGTTTACCTGAAGAGACTTAGTCAAGTAGAGTTGAGTGTAAATATACTGGTATGAGTGCCCCAGTCACACTTTAAAAACAAAAAGCTAGATATGGCACTTGGGTGGTTTTATGACTAAAAGCCAAATCCTGGCTCTGAGAATCTCCATTGTTACTGTATTTTCCCTTTCCCAAGCCTAAAATGGTCAGCCTTTACTGTTTAATGGCCTGCAATCTCTATCTTCCCTTTCTTCTCCTTATGGACCCATACCTAGGACTATGTTTACCTTCCTTCATGAAGTCTTCATCACATATAGGGTCTTAGTATGAGGTACAACTTCAGAAAGTGGTAGAACAAGGAATGACTGAGATTAAGATTTCCCCACCAATCTAACACAAGATTTTGAGTCAGATATTAAATTGGGTTATAAAATATTTTAAAAATTCATATTTCTTGCCCATCTTGGATTGTAAAATGAGATAAACAACCACTATAGTAATTACAAAAGGAGACTAGAATTTTTCCAGGCTCAAAGCTTGTTGCATCTGTATCTTTATCATGCCAATATGTGTTGCATAACCATGAAAAGGAACATGAGTGATCATATTGTGAGTAGACAAAATGCCAAGGGGTAGGGAGTGGGGTGCTTGCCAGAGCAAACAGAAGGTGATACTTTGAGGTTTTAAGTAAGGGAAAAACAATATCTATGGCCAAGAAGATTAAGAGGTTAGGGGGGAAAAATTAAGAAGCTGATCCAGAGTGGGACAAAAAGGTGTGTGTGGGGCGGGTGCAATACAGACCAAGCAGAAAAGAGTAAAGAATAATTTAGGGAAGCAAAGAATAGATTTTACAGTAGGTTAAATGGTTTGACATCAAGACTCTCCCCACCTCAAAATTCTTTACTCCTTCAGTGATCAAAGGGAACCAAGAAGGAGATCAGCCTATCAGCCTTGATCTCACTTTTGTTAGTAGCTCAGGGGGTCCACCACTGTGACCAAAACACCTGATGAGAACAACTAGAGGAGGAAAGACTTTCCTTGGCCCATGGTGTCATAGGTTTACATCCATGGTCAGTGGCCCCACTCCTTTGGGCCTGAGGTGAGGCATAATTTCACGGTAGTAGAGTACGGTGAGGGAAAGCTTGTCAGCTCATGGCAGCCAGGAAGTGGAGAGGGCAAGGGGGCTGGGGAAAAGATAAGCCCCTCCAGGGTATGCCCTCAGGGACCTACTTCTTCCAACTAGGTCCCACTTCCCACTAGTTCACGAAGTTATGGATGGAGCGATCCATTTGGTGGATTAAATGGATTAATACACTGATGCTAGAGCCCACATGACCCAATTATGACCTAGAAGCTCCACCTCTGAAACTTGTTGCACTGAGGACTCTGCACTCAACCTGTGATCTTTGGGGTCATTTTAGATCCAAACCATAACAGCAGGCATGTATGTAGGGTAGACAAAGCAAGATAAATTGGCAGAGGCTGTCCAGATGTCCACCCAGCCAATGTTTTCTTCCAGGAATATGAGGAGATGGTACTTGAGGATTATACCTCCCCTTGAAGTTAAGCTGAGGCTGGGAGCAGATTCTAGAAAAGGAATTTGGGTAAATAGGGTAGACCCCATTTCCAGGCCCACCCATAATATTCTCTCCACCCTTTCTCCTCTTTGCCCTTGAACCTGGAAACAAAAGCCTCTGAGATAAGTAAAACAGACAATGGAAGAAACTAGATCTCTGAATCACCGCTTGGATCAAACCATCCATCCTCACTAGAGTACGATGTCAGTGAAAAGCAAAATTTATTGACTAATGCATGGAGATAATGGGATTTCTTTGTTTTCACAGCATACTGTATACTGCTCACCCCCACCTAAAACCCAGGTATGTGCACGCACACACACACATTATTTCAAAAGAATATCATGGCAGAAGAGTGTCGTGAAGGAAATGAGACCTATAAATAGAACCTTTAGGGAACCACTGATGTCTTAAGCTATTGCTAATGGTGTGGGGAGGGTGGAGAAAGGAAGGGAGAATGAGATAAAGAGAGGAATGGAGGAGGGAAGGAAAAAAAGAAAGGGGGGATGTTAACAAAATTACAGCTTTACTTCTGTGTAAGGTAGTTTGTGCTTGGAGAGTTCTAAACCTCTCACAAAGCCTGAAATGGTACCAGCTAACGGATGAAAGAATCTGGAACTCTGGGGTGGAAGGATGGCCAGGGGAGGCACCAGACTCAGACAACACTTTTCACCACCTATTACCCTTGGCTTGTGGCAGTGAAAATGTAACTGGAGACAAAGCAATGCCACCAAGTCACAAGTGGAAGAGTGGTTGGGAAGTCTGGGGACCCACTGGACCAGAGGGAATTTCTATGACCACATGGAGGATTAATGAGGCTATTTTAAACACATTTCATGTCTGCAGCTTTAGCAAACAGGCACACACTCACCAGGAGTAAAAGGTGGGAAGTTCAAGCTGTTTGATTCACACGAATGACCAGAATCTTGGAGAAAGCTAGTTACTTCATCCATTTCCTTCAGACACAAAACACACAAAATGGGCAATGTTATTGATTTATAATTAGCTATGAGGAGATGCAGAATGAGAAACCAGGATATCTGGGGTTCTCTATGATCTGGTTCTTGGATTTTGAATGATCTCCCCAACTTTTCTTGGCCTCTGTTTTATCTTTTGTAAAATTAAGTCATTGGATTAGGTTCTCTCTCAAGACAGTCCAGTTCTAATGACATTGGCTGGATTTAGCTTTGTATTAGTTTATTTCAAACTATTGATTAAGAAATGTCATTTCAAAGGCTGTCCCTAGCCTTATAAATTGTGAAGATTTCACTATCTATGTTATGTTTTACTATGCTTAAAGAATAAAAATAGGCTAACACTTCTGTGCTATAATTTTCCCTGTTTTTTTTATTCCACTGTGCAAGGAATAATGAGAGAATATAATTGAGCTCAAATCTATTTCTTTAAAATGAATTAAAAATAAGCAATGTCTAATATCACTATCATATCAGATGTTTTCAAGTTTCAAATAAATTTCCCCACTGTCCTTTAATAAAAAACACGGGACCTCATTATATTATTTTCTAGTGATTAAATTTTTATGGGCCAGTGCTACAATTCTTAGAAATCACAACCTTTAATAAAATAGTCTTTTTTAAGCTGAAAAGACAGTAAATGGAGGAAAACAACAAAGCCATGAGAAAACACTGTTTTTACCCAAATGAAGTAACCAGATAGTGGCTAATTCAGAATAAGAACAGAGTTCTGAGGAGTCTGATTCAATATATATGTGGTCATCATCAAGTAAAAGAATTATGAACACCAGTATGTCAAGCAAACTATTTTATTATAGATCAGGATAGAAATTCATATGAAAATTTGGTATGTCACTTTCCAAAGGAAATTTGGGTCTAAAATAATAACTTACAATCCACACTCCATCAAAGTTCAGACTGCTGTGAAATTCAGTGACCTGTTGCGTCCACCACTGGGTACACACTGGATTGCTGAAGTCAGGAAAGACAGTTGGACCAGGGTATCCCTAGAGATCAAAGAGGGAGAATGGACAATTTATGTGCTGTTCAGTGATTCATTGCTTATTGGCTACTATTTATTTTACAGAAAACCCACATTGCCTTACTTTTAGAATTAAAATTTGTTATTTCTCCCAATGCCTATGAAACCAAAAAATGCATACAAGTTGCCAGAGGAAGAAAAAAGGAAAGGAAAAATGACCAATTAAATGAAAATCCATCATACGACTTTTTTGTAAAAAAAAAAAAAAAAAAAAAAGTAAAATTTCATTATGTCAGGCCAACTGGGAGATAAACCAATAAAAGTATTGTAGGATATTTTTAAAGAGGATAATTGAATATGTTTAATGTATTATTAATTAAAGGTTATATTAAACCCTTTGTATAATTTTGTTATAAATAATATTCTAATATTTGCATAGAAACAATATTTTATAAACAGTTGAGTAAAGTTTATGCCTCTTATTCCTGCCAAATATTCCTAATCCTATCTCTGTTTTAGCTACATCTATTTGACAGCAGCTTTAAGTGTCTTCCATGGAAGGCACAAAAATATAACCATAGCCAAATTACTGAACATTCTGATTTAATAGGTTCCAAACTTTTTTTGCAACATTCTTGATGATTTTCCCACTACAATTATTTGTTGGCAATTAGGAACAATTTAAACTCACGCAGCATAATGAATGAATATATATATATATATATATATATATATATATATATATATATATATATATATATAATTCTTCAAACACAAGGTAGGCAATGGAAATCCCCACTTTCAGTGGATTGAGCTCTTGGACTTTTGTTGCAGGTGATGGAAACCAAGTAATAATTTGAGATAATTTTGGACTCCAGGAAGCAAGTGGTTTGACAGAGCAACAACCAACAGAAGCCTTGAGTGGAGATCAGGCCAAGTGAGCTCCATTCTAAACAAGAGCATGGGTAGCCACCTCTACCCACTTCTACCTCCACTGCCTCAGCCAACTCACATAATTTATCAGTCAATGAAAAGAATCTAGTGAGCAGAGTAAGAAGGGGCCATCAATAACTCTTGAGAAGACAATTTTGCAAAGTCAACTACTCAGAAAAAGCAGGAACTGCCTTCACGTGAACTTTGAGAGTTCTAACTTTAATAACTCTCAGATAATCCAATCACCTGGTGTTGACAACCACATAACTGGATAAAAGTCACATCATGATTTGACTTAAAGTACATTCTCTCAGAAAGTCAGCTGTCTTTAAAATAGGCTCCTGAGGAGTCATTCTATTTCAATTCCTGCAACTACTACCTTAGAATAAAGCCTGGGCTTTATCTAGAAGCTTGGTACAAATTAATATACTACCTTAGATAGGTTCACATTAACCTGTAAGCCCAATGATCTATTGTTGTAGTTGAATTTATTATTTTGGGAAAGAGGTAGAAATTGGAGGCAGGAAGACTTCAAGTAACTGAATTGTTTTTTCTAATGATACATTGCTTCTTAATTATCAGTGATATTCATGGATCAGCTAGCATCTTATGTCTTTCAGAATTTTAATCATTTTATTAGTACATGTATTGGTTTAAAAATAGTGATGAAGGAAACCTTTAAAGCCATTTAAAAAAATAAGCAATAGTGTAGCTTGGACTTTTACCCATTATCAAAAATACCAGTTCCCCAAAACTAGCTATAATTTACTCTTTCATTAGAAATTACCTCCCCAACAGCGAAGTCATTGTTCTCCAAGATCCATACTCTCTTTAGTCTTCCATCTTTATATGTATTGTAGTTAGGATCTTTCAGGATACCAGGATTCTAATAAAGAAATAAGATATAAATATTATTTTTATAAATTTCCTTTGCATTTTGAAAGAAAATACTAGGCAATAGGGTAAGTGTTTGACATACCATAATAATTATATATTTTTGGCCATCATCATGTAACCTCTTGACAAAACCTGAGAGATCAGGGTAAGCCTTTTCATCAATAGTGAAATCCTTCTTTCCATCCATGTAGTCTATATCAGAGTACTGGACATCCTGAAAGGTAACACTGGCCAATTAGAACTTAGGAAATACCACCAAGCTGATGGGAAGGAAATCAGCTCTAGTTTCCAATCATGGGAACCAAAGCTGAGGGAGATACAGAAGGGCTTAGGCAGCCAGGCAAAGATGGGGAGTGCAGAGGTCAGGGGCAGGGCCAGAACAAGGGAGCATGAGAGGGTCTTCTGATGACATCAGCTTCCTAACTTGAAAAAAGTACTCATGGACCCAAGTTGGGGGACCCAATCAGACACTTCTGCACTCATGCTCTTAAGCAGGGGATCCAATGGAAAAATTAAAACAGATGTGTAGACAGAGGGGGCACTAGTCAATAATAGTGAGGACAGCATGGACAGGAAAGGAGATAGGGAAGGAGGAAATTCCAGAGACCATAAAAGAACAGTCCCAAAACTCACCCACTTGATTCCTGTCATTTTTGCAATAAACCTACTTCTTTCTTACTACCTCTGTGTTCTGTCTTTCAATTCCCTGCTGAACAGAGACAATGAACCCAGTACCCCTAGATGGTAACAAAGCCATATTTATTAATAATCCTGGATCTTCCAGGTTTTGGCTAACTCCTAGAAGTGAATATGTCCTGCCAGAAAGAGGCAGCTGCTTTTAGGTTCCAGCTTTATTTTCTCATCCTGATAGAGACATGCTGTAAGACATTGGAAGGAGTTGAAAGTAGGAACTGCATTTTGTTCAGCTCTGTAACCCATGAGCTTGAATACTTGACATGTCACAGGTGCTCTTGAAATGTTTGTTAATGAATATATTAGGAATGTTATAACCGTGATGATGGATGATGCAGCATGCAAATTTCTGATGTGGGTCTGCCTCTCTATCAACCATTTTTATATCATTTCCTAACAGGCTGAATTTCATGCAAAAAATTAAAGATGGGGTCAAATACATGATAAGAGATGTGCCAACTTACATACGGGATCCCAGCTTCACGAGTTCGGTTTACAACCTCTTCCAACCCATTGATGCCACCATAATCCCTGCGACTTAACTGGAACCCAAGATTCCAGTAGGAAGGCAAGAATGGTCGTCCAACAAGCTGGAAAGAGAAGTAAAGCAGTGTCTAAGCCTCACAATAAACATTTGGTAGTGCCAAGTTCAACAACGGATGCATTAGCTCCATTTCATTTTCTCTAAAGTCCTCAGATCCTAAAATGTCAGAGCCAAGAGTAATCTCCTAAAGCTAATCTGCAAAATTCCACAGCTAATAACTTTTTTCACTTAAGCATCTAAATGTATTCCCAACTACAGCAAATTCAAAAAAAAAATAATAGAATTTTCAGAAAATGTTTGCCTAATGGTGTCGTCTTTGGGGAAAAGCAGTTAGTAGTCCTTCAATCCATAAATATTTCATCAGAGTTTATAATGTGGTAGGGGCTGGTGTGAGCACTGAGACTATAATGTCACAATGCAAGCCTAGTTTCTGCTCTCACAGAGTTCAAAGGAGATAAATGTGTCAGATGTGATGTCAGATAGTAGTGTATGCTAAGGTAAAAAAAATAAGGATTGATGAGATGAGGAGCAGGTGGATGAAGAAATACTGAAATATGATTAAAATCCAACTTTCCAAGTTGTTCCAGCCAACACTGAGATTAGTAATGCCATGGATAGGAAGCATCTTTCTCTCTTCCATGGGAAAGAGTAGGTCTTAGGAAGTTGCTTTTATAGAAAAGACTTCTATGTTGAGATCACTCTCTAGCAGAAGCAAGCTGAACTCAACAATACTTCTATTGAATGTGGAACCTGAAAATTATTAACCTGCCTCACACTATTACCTGAAAGTCTCTGCCTTCTAACACAAGTGGGCTTTCTATCATACCTTTGAATTCCTGTACAGTTTATTTGCACCTCATTCACAGAATATATTATAAGGTGCTCTTTATTATAATTATTTCAGGCTGTATGTATCATATTCTCTTATTGATTATAAATTCAGTGGCATCTGGGAACCATATTTTCGTGCCTTTACAAGCCATCCTGAGCAAATCACTTTATCTTTCCATGTCTGAGTTTTTCCATATGGAAAGTATCTACAGTTCTTTCCTATCTTATAATATGAATCAAATATGAATAGCAAGCAAAGTTTCTTTTACATATTACTTTCCACTGAATTTTTATCTGTGGAATGGATGCACTTCACTGACTTTTATCCTTTGGTCTCTGGAGTGATTGATGGTTCAACCTGGATAGATGATGAATGCCTTGAGTGCAGGATGCTGACTTATTTTTGCATTTTTCAAGCCTAGCATAGTGCCTTTTTAGCATGCAGAAAACATCCAATAAGTGTCATCAAAATAAGAAAATAAGCAATAAAAGACTGCAACCCCAGTGTTATAATCCATCCCATCTACTAATAACCCTTATTTTCCTCTTGATGATCTAAACCAGCATATGAGGCAATAGCAATAAACAACAACTCTAAATACCAAGACGTACCTCCAGGTATTCCTGAACCACTTGCTCTGGAGTGTTTCCCAGGAACACGTAGAAGTCAAGAATGCCCCCAATTGTGCGGTAAGTGACTGCAGGAGCAGGCTGAAGAGCGACCTCTGAGAGAATTAAAGTGAGAGTTATTAGAATTGAGTATATACTTTTCTTGGGGGTATGAATAGCTGAGCCATCCAAAATAATCTCAGTAAAAATCACATATGTTCACTTTACAGTTCCTTCCTATCCTATAATGTGAATCAAATATGAATAGCAAGCAAAGTTTCTTTTACATATTACTTTCCACTGAATTTTTATCTGTGGAATGGATGGACTTCACTGACTTGTATTGTTGAAATTTATTAATCTATCAAGTTAGTAAAATAGCAAGGAAGAATTAAGCTTTGTTTAAGAGAAGGAAAAATAAACTCTATTTTAATTTGACCATATAAAAATACAAACTTCTGGGTTTTGTGAGTGGCTCTGCTTGAAGAAAATGTTTTGAAAATCTTATTGGGTAAGTTTGACTATAATTAAAAATGTAAAAACAATCAAAATGCCTATTAATGCACCACTAATCCAGAACCCAGAGGGGAAGATTATGGGTAAATTAGGGGCAAACTATGAGAAACCGCCCTTAAAATGCAACCTGTCGCCTACAGTCAGACAGCATGGCACAAGTTGAAATCTGCAAGTTTTCTTGGAATGTGTCTATCAATGGTTGCTGTTATCTACAGAATATTAAAAGGAAACATTCCATAAAGGAAATCCCTGAAGCAGTTTCCAATGAAAATGGCTTTTAAGGATGAGCTGGATTTGTAGGTAGATTAAAATACTTTCAAGTCTCAGTTTCAATAGAAGTATCATTAAGATCAACATGTCTCTGTCAAACAGTGATCTCAACATACAGTCATTTTTTATAAAAGCAGTGTCCTAAGACTTACTCCTACCCATGGAAGAGAGAAAGATGCTTCCTACCCATGGCATTACTGTTCATCAGAAAAACTCCAAAAGAGGAACCACTGGTGTCTTCAAGGCACAAGAAGAATGTATGTGCTCCATATAGGTTAATCATGCCCTGTCAGCAGGAAAGAGAGAGAGAAGTAATAGTATTATATGTTCAAAATGAGTACTCGCCCTACATTAAAACCAGAAGCCATGTGGACATGTGCTTGGTCAATACTTAATGCAGAGTGGTATTGTACCAAAAAGCTGTTCGAATGGCATCATCAACTAACAAATGGAGAAACAAAATATAGTATACCATGCCCTGTCAGCAGGAAAGAGAGAGAGAAGTAATAGTATTATATGTTCAAAATGAGTACTCGCCCTACATTAAAACCAGAAGCCATGTGGACATGTGCTTGGTCAATACTTAATGCAGAGTGGTATTGTACCAAAAAGCTGTTCGAATGGCATCATCAACTAACAAATGGAGAAACAAAATATAGTATACCTGTACCATTCACAGTGTAGGATGAAACACTGATACATGCTGCAAAATAATACTCCTCAAAAATGCTAAGCTTAGTAAAATAGACACAAAGGACCATATTGCACGATTTTGTTGATATGAAATGTCTAGAAAAATTTAAAAAATCAAATCTGTAGACAGCAGATTAGGGATGGCCTGGGACTAGTGTGGATGCCAGGATAGGAACTGAGCTTGACTCTAAAAGGACATGAAGGATCCTGTAGGGGTGATGGAAATGTTCTAAAACTGGATCATGATGATTGTACAATTCAGTAAATGTGATAAAAATTACTAACTTGTACTTTGAATAGTTAAACTTTATGGAATATAAATTAAACCTCAATCAAGATTCTTTTATATAAAATTTGCTATGATCTATACCAAATTTTAATAGGATGAAATGGTGTTATGAGCCATTATGAATTTCTTATTAATGTCCAACTGTTTTTTAATCTTTCTAAAATAATGTGTAATTCTGAGGTAGTAACAACTAAAAAAAAGAGACTGAGGTACTGAATCTTGGCAGAGGGTGGTGATGAGAGCTGATATAAAAACAGATAATGTTTACATGTATAACTGTGCTATAAAAGGAATAATGTTGAGATTATAGTATGTATAAAGTTTTACAGACATTCTTTGTGTGATAATGTCACAAATCTTAGCCCCTCGTATGAGGCAATAGTACTAATAATGGTAAAAAGAAAAAGAAAGAAAACCAGTATGATTTGCTAAATAGAGAGGATCAATAGGACTACGAAGGCTGGATTTAAAATTACAGCCACGAAGGCTGATGGCATCAACACATGGAGAGAATACAGGTTATATTTTTTTAAAATTTTGAAGCAAGAAAAAAAAAATAATGAGAAGAAAGAAAAGGGGAAAACAGAAGGAAAAAGAGAGATAGGGAAGGCTGGAAGGAGTGGGGAAAAGTCAGAGGAGGGAAGAAAAGGAGAGAGAGAAATAGGGAGAAAGGGAGGCCACGAGGGAGGGAAGGAGGGGGAAACGTGTGTAGGAAAGCACACATTTCATTTAATCTGTAACTATATAATTTAAGAATTTCGTCCAGGCACGGAGGCGCATGCCTGTAATCTCAGTGACTTGGGAGGATAAAGCAGGAGGATCACAAGTTTGAGGCCAGCTCAGCAATTCAGCAAGGCCCTAAGCAATTTAGCAAACCCTGTCTCAAAATAAAAAGTCCTGGGAATGTGGCTCATTGGCTAAGCACCCTTGGGTTCAATCCCATGTACAAAAAAAAAAAAAAAACTGCAGCTGTAGAAAGTCAAATTTGGCGCAATGCTCAGGGTATCAGTGTACTTGACCAAACATTTGAGTGGATGTGTCAAGTGTCAACTACTGCTTTTTACTCTCTGTTCAGTTCAGTAAGAGTACTGCTTCCATTGCATCACATATGGGCAGATGGTCTGCAAGTTAATGAGCTACTTGCTGTGTTCATCTCTTGCAAATATAAACTGCAAAACATTCAGCCCAATCACCCTACGCCAAACTTCCATCTGCATGCAGCTCTTGCCCAGACCTTAGAGCCACCATCAGCACAAGGGAGGCTTCAACACAACCTCCATTCACCACTGCTTCTCAGTATTGTCCAAGCTCTGGCACCTTATCAAGATAAATACAAAAAAAAAAAAAAAATGAGTGTTTAGAAAGTCTTTTATAGAGATTTAAGAGTAATTTTATGGCCAGGCCCAGTATCACATGCCTGTAATCGCAGCACCTTGGGAGGCTGAAACAGGAGGATCATGAGTTCAAAGCCAAAGCAAGGCGCTAAGCAATTCATTGAAACCTTGTCTCTAAATACAACACAAAATAGGGCTGGGGGTGTGGCTCTAAGGTTGAGTGCCCCTGGGTTCAATCCCTGGCCCCCCTGCCCCCTAAAAAGAGTAATTTTGTGTCTGTTCAATTTAAAATTCAGGCTTATAATTTTTATATTTTTGGATATTTTTATTTCATTTTCCAAAAATACTTTAAATTGGGTTTTTACAAATGTGTTGCCCATGTTGGTTTAACAACAACAAAAGAAAAAGAAAGTAAACCTTCACTCCAGGTAACTTGAGAAACCCTATTCTAGAATGACCCTTCTCCCACTTCACTATGGGTGTGATTCTCCAGGGATCTTATTAACATGCCAATTCAGATTCAATGGGTCTCCTGGTCTTTATGGCCTGAAGCTCTACATTTCAAACAACCTGCAAGGTGATGCCAACACTACTGTGCCTGGAACACACCTTCACTAGCAACACAGAAGCTGTCAAAAGAGACTTTTTTTTATTCACAAGGTCCTACTAAGAATGGCCCCTGCTGAAGTTCTTCTTTAGATATTAAAATTTTTAAAGCTAGGCAGTTACAAAGGTATTTTTCCTTATAGGGTGAGCTCTAATACAATCATTAAATTGCATTTTCCATTAAAAGTAAAATTTTTAATTGCACTAATTTCTAATAGTGTCTTTATAACCTCACGAACAGGTATTCCTCAACACAAACACGTCTAAACTGAACAAGACAAGATATAGCTGTCTCTGTAGACCATTTTTAGGGGAGGAAGGAGAACATCCCTGACTGTAAGCAATGACCAGGCAGAAGGGGACCTCACCGCAGTGGGGGCGGCATCCCGGGTAAAGATGGGCCAGGTCTTCCAGGCCATGTCGTGGCGGTACTGTTGATGCACGTGCTCCCCCAGCCCATACACATTGGTGCTGGGAAGTCGGAAAGACAGCTGCAGGAACTGCTGGGCAAACTGGAGGGGCCCAATGCTTGTGTCCAACCTAGGCCATACAGGGAAAGTGAGATTTGCTGAAGCTCTCGCTTCTCTCTGCCAAGAAGCTATTTGTTCTTTTCCACATACACTCAGAGATCAGTTGCTTTAGGCATTATCAACTCCCATGCTACCTTGAAGACCTTTCTAGAGCATTTCTATTTCTTTGAATCTAATGGAACATAGTGATGGGACACCAGGGCTCAGGTTGGACGATTGGGCAAAGAGAAGAAATGTGACCTTACATTTCTGTGTACCTGCTGCATGACAGACGCTACTCTGGATACTTTATAAATATTATCTCATGGCCCTTAGCAAAAGTGGATATTTTGATCTTCTTTGTGGACAAGGAAACTGATGCTGACGAGATTTTCTGCCTTCTGTCAGATGGCTGACTGGTTTTCCAGTGCAAGGATTTGAATACAAGTTTTACTGACATTGGTTCTTAAATTTTCTCCAGTATAGCTGTGATGTATCCTCAAAATGCTGGTAGGTGCTTGATAATGAGATTCACAGGAAATAATACTTTGGAATGATAAACAATGAAGTTCAACTTCCAGTATGAATAATGATCCAAAATAATAAAATTCCCTATTTCATAATACAAGTAAACCATAAGCATATATATAATATATTTATATATCATGTAACTCAGCACACTAATACATTGTATTTTAGTATTCTTTGCTCTATGGTCATGATAGATTTCCATTCTTAATTAGTTATAGTAAGTAATTCTGCAGATTTTTGAAGTTCAAGCATATTTTTAGGCCATAGTCATTTTACTATGTCAAAATAATTGATATTGGGTCACTATATTCAAAGATGTACAAAGAGTATCAAAAAAGCTCACAGGACTCTTTTGTTGTTCTTCCTCATTATTCTGATGCTAAAGGGATTATCAGTGACTTCTACATGGTAGCTCAAACTGGAGATATCAGCAGTGTCATTAAGTAAATTGATGTTTTCAGAAGGGACTTCATAGCGGATCGCATTGAAATCAGTTATCTGTCAGAAGAAAAACAGAAAGGACAGTTCAAGGTAAGACTACTTCCTTGTAGAACTACAGAAGATATTGCCTCTCAAACAGCTCTCCATGAGAATAGCCTCTAACTCCTGACTCTATGGTTCCTGGTTTGTGAGAAGAAATCACCCAATCACACATGCCCTGTCAAGTAAAATTTAGCCTTCACACCCCATGCAAAGATTCCTACAGAGAGGAATGGAGGTGCCTTCTGTCTCTGCACCTTGCATGGTGTGTGATGAGGAAGGGAGTGGACCCAGGGTGGAGCACTGCTTTCTTCAGGAATGTGTTCAATGGTAACTCCCAAACCAACCTTAAAACGAAAACGATTGGCTGTCTGAAATTCAGCTGTGAGGAGGGCATTGGTGACATCATCTCCAAACAGAGATGGGGATGACAACTTTCTCAACTGGGCAGTAAACCCTAGGGTTGGAAATGAAGAGCAAGAAAGAGGCTTTTAGCTTTTATGTTTTGCAGTTATTTGGACCATAAAGAGTTGTTCCCTGGGGCCACATCAGGAGAGTGCTTACCTGTGCTTGTATTTGTTTGGGCCCTGATGACTTCATAGCCCCAGTTTCTGGGGAAGAAGCACCTAGGGACATTGGTCTCTGCTGCAGAATTCCAGCAGCATTTATATTGCCATCTGCAAGTATCCTGTAAAAATAACAAAGAGTTGGCATTATAAAAAATGAAAGAATGAGAGTAATATTTGCCTATTCATTTATAAAACTTCTTATTCTAAAGAGAATGTAATATACATCATAATTACATTCATTCACCTATTTATTCTTTATTCATTTATACAGTTATCCAGTGTTGATTTCTCCTAGACAAGAAACTCTTACCAGATAAATAAGATTAAAAGTTTGTGCCTCCAGAAAACTTACAGTCTAGTGGTAACTCAAGACAATTAAAAATAGCAATGAGTTGAGTGTTCCAATATGGTTTGCTTAGGAGCTGAGCAGTAGGCTGAGAGTAGAGTGGGAATGGCTTATCAATAGTACAAAGGTAAATCCAGTCCTACAACACCAGAAGGAGTTAGACAGGCGAAGAGCAGAGTAGTACTCCAAGCAGCGAAAGCAGAAATGCATATAGATGGAAAACCCACAAATATATTGTACCAAGAACATTGAGTAAGAACAGTGAGTACAGGAAGATCAAGGGAAGCTAGCACACTAAACTATCAGCCTAATTCCAGGAAGAGGACTTGGAGACAGAAAACATTTTAAGAACTTCCCTGCTATATTCTGTCCATAAATATAATGTCTGAATCTTTCTCAGTAAAGGAATGTATTCAGTTTAGATTGTTTTATTTTTTTTAAAAAAAAGAGTATGTCACGACACTATTCATTTGAAAAAGGTAAACCTACACATATTTTAAATGCCAACATCTGAATTGCTCTGAAAGGCCATGATACAAATATAATTTCAATCAACACTTCACACTATTATGAAAAAGCAATCATGTTATAACCATAAAATCATTTTAAGTACTTATTAATTCTCCATACATAACACTGGTATTTTTGCCTCATTCTTTTCAGTTAAAACATGGCTGAGGATATCAATGGAGACAAAATTTAGGGTTGGATAACTGATTTCCCTAAGACTGAGACAGACGGAACAACTTAGCCACCCAGAAACTGAAGTCTGTAAAGTACAAAAGGTTAGTTTCATTGCCATAAATTGTTTCAAGGTCTATAAACCTCATAAAAAGCAATGAACACTCAGATAATATTTTGTGTATAATCTGCTCTAATATCCTTCTGTCAGTCCCAGACACCAAAGGTCAAACCATGGAGACAATTATTTTCCAATCCTTCAAACTCCATATTTCTTCCCCATTTATATCACTCTCTTTCTTTTTAATTTCCATGGACACGGCATCAAGAGACTGTCATAAATTCATGCCTGCCCTACTGTGTTAGCTCAAAAGTCTCCTTGTCTCTCTATTATTGCCTTAACACCAAATATTCCTAAAGAATATTCTCCAGCTGTCTTCCAAATAGAGGTCATGTTATATTTCAATCAGACATCATTGACTAATAGAATTTAACAATTGGAAATTGACTTGGAATTATAGAGTCCAACTTCTTTCTGATGCAAGCATTTCTTCAGGAGAGTCTCTGATAGATCCTGAAGCTATGTGAATGATGGATTGCCAACTTCTAGAATCAGGAAAGCCCACTTTTGCATTTAGTATTTTACTACAATGATATTTCTTATGTTTAGATAACAGCCTCTGGAAGTTTCTTTCTTTTTTTAGTGGAAGTTTCATTTCTTAAAACCCACAATGGTGACTTTTAGATACTATCTCAAATCATATTAGAGTTTGAGAAAGAAAAACAAAATTTGGTGCTATGAGATAAGGAAGAAAAGGGAAATACATTGGCAAAAACACTGAAATTGTTATCATTAACAGGTAACAGTACTATTTCAAAAATCATTAAAAAGATATGACATACCAATAAAGATAATTCATAAGCAAATTTAAGATTTCAGGTTTCAAGATGAATATTCAAAAATTAATTTAAAATCTAAACATAAACTACAGATAAACAGAAATTTTAATTTAAAAATAGCATTTAATAGAATTAAATATTAAATTGTTAAAAAATATGAAAGCAAAGTGAAAGATGTCTAAACCAAAAATTTCAAAATTAACACTCTGAATAAATTGAAAGCTTTATCAAATTTTCGGATTTTACTATTCACTTTGGTAAAAATTGCAATTCTTCCATATATGGAATCACAATCAAATTATTTTGTGATAAAATTGACAAGCTGATCCTAAAATGTATTCAGAAGTTTAAAGGCCAGAGAATGGGACAGGCACTATTGAAGAAAAATAGAAATGACTTGGAGGACTTACAAGACCACACATCAAGAGCTATTACAAAGTTTTAATAACTAAGGCAGTGTTGTATTGGCCAAAGCACAATCAACAAATTAGCAAAGTGAATTCCAGAAGCAAGTCTACATATATAAACATATAATTTACAGAAAGATGTTACTGCAATGAAAAAGAGAAGGTATGGCAGTCATTTTAGTAATTGGTGATGGATCTGTTAAAAATTCAAGAGGGCTGGGGTTGTGGCTCAGGGGCAGAGTGCTTGCCTCGCACATGTGAGGAACTGGGTTCCATCTTCAGCACCACGTAAAAAATAAGTAAACAAAATAAAGATATTGTATCCATCTATAACTAATAAATAAAAATATATATTTAAAAAGAATTCAAGAAGACATTTTTTCTGGACTCTTATCTGACATACACATACACACACACACATACACAAACACATGCACAAACACATACACAAATGCTAGATTGATTAAAGATCTAAATTTGAAAAAAAAATACAGTAATAATGTTCTTAGAGGAAAAACAGAAAGATGTTTTCCTGACTCTCTTTGAAGCAGGAAGGAATTTTTAAATAGAATATGAAATGTACTGGCCACTGAAAAATTGACAAAATGGACTACATTAAAATTAGGAACAATTTTTTCATCAAATATTGACCATTAAGAGAGTTAAAAGACAACCCACAGAATAAAATAAGGTATATGTCTTTAAAAACAAAAGATTTGTGTCCAGAGTACATAAATAACTACAGAGCATAAGCAAAAGAGGAATACCCATTTAAAAAAACCTGGACAAAAAAACTGAAACATTACAATATGATCATCCAACTATTCAATAAGCCTAAGAAAAGATGATTAATTTCATTAATCATGAAGCATGTGAAAATTATAACTACAGAATTGTTACATTGATGAAGGATAAAAACATCAAAAGTTGTTAGGACACATAGTAACTGAACTCTTACATACTGTTACAGGAAATGTAAATTGTCATAGATATTTTGAAAAGCTATTTTGCAATATCAACTAAACCTAAACATGTACATATCCCTATGAATGGAAAATTCCATTTCTTGGTATAGAACCAATGAAATCCTTCCACATATTCACCAAAAGACACATAACATACTGTTCATTGCAGCACTATTAAAATGTTTCTCATATGCAAACTCACAAATGCCTATAAAAAGTAGACAGTATAAAAATATTGGGGTGTATTCACACAATGGAATACCATATAGCAAAAGGCATGAAAGATCTTTAACTTCTCCCAACAACAGGATGAATCTCATAAAAATAATGTTGAGCTTAAGATTTATTTAGTTCAACTCCAAATGTATAAATTTGAAAACAGATGAAGTATATAGTTTTCCATAAAAATATTAATAGTGCTACTATGAACATTCTAGTATATGTCAGTAGGAGAATGGTTAAAAGACTGTGGTATACTCATTCAATGGAACATCCCTCAACAACACAAATCATCTAATACTGTATATGTAACACTATTGACAAATCTGAAAACCATGCTGGGTGAGATTTTACAAAGTATGATTTCATTTATATAAAGTTATGCAACAAGCAAAACAAAGAAAGCTATAGTGGAGATGGAGGGAATACAAGGGGAAGTAACTACTGAGGAATATCACGAGAGAACTTTCTGTGGTGATGGTAACATCCCACATCTTGACAGATATTTGGGTTACAGGGGTGTAGTCAATGTCTCAACAAGTTGTCCTAAAAGTGTGTGAACTGTAAAACTCTTCATATTTGCATTGTATATAAATTTAATATCTAAAGACAAAAATCATAATCAAACATTCAGCTCTTGCTAAAGCTATGTGTGATGAGAAGTTTATAGAAACATGAAATGGCTTCTGGAATTTACTTTCAAATGCATTAAAAATAAGATCATTGATGGATAAAGTATAAGACATACTAATATAGATGTAAAAACAAAGCAAAATATTAAGGGTGGCATGTAAGTGGGAAATTCTTTCCATTTTTTCTGTATGTTTGAAAATTTAAATATTAGATTACTGGAAAGAAAATCCATTTTTCACTTCCTAAAGGAACTATTAAAAATAGGACTCCTAATAAAAATAAAGCAATTGTCCTAAGTTAGCAGCCAACATCATGCTCTATATTTTACATGTAAAAAATTTCCATTGAATTCAAGCATAAATAAAGGTTGCTAACCATCAGCACTTAATTTATATTACTCTGGAAGAACTGGAATGTGCAGCTGGACATGTGAATGATGAGACATAAGCATTAATACAAAGCAAAATCATTATTTTTCTGGGATATAATTGTAAAACTAATAAAGAACTACAAAATTCTTTTTGTAGAAACAATGAAAATATTCAGTTGGTCAGTTATATAATAAATATAATAGAAATATGTAAAAATGATTTAAAAATATTTAAATTTAAAGTAATACATATAAAATAACTATTAGTAAGAAAGGAAGTATTATAATAAAAGAAGCTTTGGTTAGAAAATATAATAAATTATATTTACACTAGAAGCTAAAAATATGAAATACATAAGGAAAAGTTCATTATTCATATGAAAGAAAATTTATAGAAACATAAAATTCAATTAAGGCATACATATGTATATGTCCATATTCATATATTTATTAATATATATAGATATATTAGATATATAATCGAAATGGAGAGATGTTCTGTTTTTAGAATAGGAAGAATCAAAACCATTAAGCTGTCAATATTATTTAATTTAACCCCCCAATTCAGTGTGGTTTTAATCAATAATGTTATAGGATGTTCTGGGATATAGAAAGTAGAAAACAGAGTAAAGAAATAAAATCTAAATATATAAGGCCTTCTTGACAAAGTCACGTTTCAACTAAGCAGGGTTCAGAGTTGATATTGTCATGGAAGCCACACACGTTCACTGGCACCTCTGTTGCCAGTGTCACCGTGCCAGAAGGCTCTTGTTAAAACAGTTCACCTAGTTCTAGAAGTGGCTCCATGGTCCATATGTGGTTGATAGTCTCATTCTCAAGGAGTATGTAGGCTAGCCCACCAACATGTAACCTTTACACCAGAGTGCACATTGGATCCACACTTACAAAGCACTTAACATTGGTAAATTCCCTCCACTTTGGGTTTTGGATTTTATTTCCTCCAATACTTCTCTTTTCTCTATTCTGCTTTCCTCACTTCCTCAGTGTTAAGGCAAAAAAAGAAAGAACTCCAAGCAAATTGCAGACCCATAAGCCACTTCACACCACTCTCTCCACACTTAACATCTCTTAAATAAAACCCAATGGTCCCAGCAGGGACCTCATTTCTCTGACCTCTGTCACCGCCTGTCCAGGTGCGCAGTCTATCCTTTCTGACTGAGAGATCGCTGGGCACACTGGAATAAATGAAGAATCTGCACAGAAATTAAAGGACAAAAGTTGAATACTTGTAGTCTGCTCACAGCTCCAAGAAAGGTGGCATAATTACAAACTTTCAGTCAATTCTTCCGTCAATAACGTCATTGGTAGCTGGTATCCTTACTTACATACAATGTTTAACAATTCTCCAAGTGCTAAAGATACTTGTCTTCTTTTTTTTTCTATTGTTGTTGTTGGTTTGTTTGATTGTTAGATATATAATCATGTACCATGAAATTATCTGTTTTTAAAGCATACAATTCAATAGTCTTTTAATATTTTACAAAGTCCTGCCACCAAAAAGCTCTATCTAATTATAGAACATGTTCATTGTCCTGGAGGAGTCACCCCATGAGGGATGGCTTTTCATGCCCCTTTTCTCCCAGTCCCTGGAAAACACTAGCCAATTCTCTCTCTGTGGATTTGCCTATTCTGAGAATTTTACACAAAGGAAATCATAAAGCAAGGGCCTTTTGTTCCTGGCTTCTTTCATTTGGTGTGATGTTCAGAGTTCTTCCATGTTATAGCAAATAGCAGTGTTTTATTTATTTTCACAGATAAATCATATTCCACTAAGTAGATACAACACATTTAATTTTGTTTCTCTACACATCAATTGATGTATATTTCTGTTGTTGTTTCCACTTTTTTACTATATATATATATATATATATATATATATATATACACACACACATACATACATATTTCTGCTGTAAATGTTCATGCAAAAGTGTGTGAACATATTTCCAATTCTCTTGGTTACATATCTAAAAGTGAAATTTGTAAATCTTATGTTTAACTCTATCCTTAACTTTTTGAGCAACTTCCAAACTTCTATTCAAAGTGGCTCCTAAGAGTGATGTATGAGGATTACTACTTCTCTTTGACCTTAAAAGTAATTGTTATTAATTTTTTATTATAGTCATCCTGGTGTATGTGAAATGAAATATCATGTTTTAACTTATGTTTTCCAAATAACTGATGGTGTCAAATATTCTTTATGGTCATTTGTAGATCTTTTGAAAAAAAAAAGAATATATATAATCTTTTGTACATTTAACATTTTTTTCTTTTAGCTTTGAATTGTAGCATTTTTTTATGTATCTCTGATGTTAGGCCCTTATCAGATATTTCATTTGCAAATGCATCTGATTCTGTAGGTTATTTTTTCATTTCTTTATACTGTCATTTGAAGCATAAAAGTTTTCATGTATCATGAAGTCCAGTTTGCCTATTTTTTGTTTTGTTACTATGCTTTATATACCATCTATCAAACTGTTGCCTAATCCAAGGACACAAACATTCAGACCTATGTTTTCTGTTTAAAGATTTGTAGTTTTGGGTCTTACATTTATGTCTTTGATCCATATTTAATTAACTTTCATGTATACTATGAGGTAGAAATCCAACCTCTTATTTTAACATATGAATATACCAATGTGTTATACCTTTGTTTTTATCATTTGTTTGTTGGATTACATTTGGTTTTGTTCAACTCACTTCTAATAAACTTTGATGTAGATAGGGAAGATATTATTGGCCCCTTAAGAAATATATACAACTGCTCAAAATTATTCTTATTCAAGGCTTTATCCACTTTGTTTACCCTTCTCCTACACAACAACAAGCTAAATAGGACTGGGTCTGTGGGCTCCATGAACCAGTCAGAACACTGGATCTCCCCTGAACCTTCAGGCCACTGAAGTTACTATGGGTGTCAACTACCTTTCCACTATCCCTATTGACTCATGCACTAGTGTGTGCATGTCTGTTTTAAAAATGGATTAAGGACTTAACATAAGGCCTAGAACCATAAAATTTCTTGAATAAAACATGTGGAAAGTTGCTTAACACTGGTATGACCAAGAATATAAGCAACAAAAGCAAAAATAGTCAACCGGGACTGAGCCAAACTAAAGCACTAATCAGCACAGTGAAGAGGTCACCTAGGCAATGGGAGAACGTATTAATAAGCCATATATCCAATGAGAAGTCAATTTCCAAATGACAAAAGAAATTCAAAAAACTCAATGGCATGAATGGCTTAGAAACTTGAATAGATATTTATCCAAAGAATACATACAAATAAATGGCCAACAGGTATGTGAAAAGATGCTCAACATTCCTAATCATCTGGGAAATGCAAATTAAACTGTAAGGAGATATTACCTCACACTTCTTAAGATGGTGATTATCAAAACAGAACAGAGGACAACAACTTTTAGTTAGCATGTGAAGATACGGAAACCCTGGTCCACCATTGCTGGGAATGCAAGGAGGTGCAGTTGCTATGAAAAACAGGATGGAGATTCCTAGAAAATTAAAAACCAAAGCTACCATAGGAATCTTTATTCCCACTCCTGAGTCTTTATCCAAAAGACTTGAGTCAGGAATTTGGAGATATATCAGCACTTCCATGTTATTGCAACATTATTCACAATAGCCATCATTTGTAAACAACCTAAGTGTCCACTGAAGTACAAATGGATAAAGAAAATGTGGCAGAATATTATTGAGCCTTAAAAGGAAATCCTGTAATATGCAAAAACATGGATGAAACTTGAGGACTTTATCTAAGGAAATAAGCCAATCACAGAAGGACAAACACTGCATTATCCTATGTGAAATATTTAAAATAGTCAAACTCATAGAAGCAAAAAATAGAATGGTGTTTGACACACACTAGGGGAAAGGAAATCATTAATAAATATGTGTAACATTTCAGTTGTACAGGGTAAGTTTTAGAGATCAGATACAATATACTCTTTTGTAGGCTTAAAAATTTTGCTAAGAATGTAGATTGCATGTTACATGTTCTTCCAGAAGAAGAAGAAGGAGGAGGAGGAGGAGGAGGAGGAAGAGGAGGAAGAGGAGGAAAAGAAGAAGAAGAATTTGTTTTTCATTCCATGGAAACCTATCTTTAAAAAATAGCTAGATGGGCTGGGGATGTGGCTCAAACAGTGGTGTGCTCGCCTGGCCTGCACGGGGTGCTGCGTTTGATCCTCAGCACCACATAAAAAAAATAAAATAAAGATATTGTGTCCACTAAAAACAAAACAAATAAATAAATAAATATTTAAAAACTCTCTCTCTCTCTCTCTCTCTCTCTCTCTCTCTCTCTCTCTCTCTCTCTCCCCCCCCCCTCTTTAAAAAAAAAAAAGTAGCTAGAAAAAAAGGCCTATATGTAAAACAGTTAACAGCTGAACTACTCTGGATAAATCGAAGTGTGTAAGTGTGTCTTGGTATCAATACAGGTGTAGATATTTAGTTTTATATTTAGTATGAAAAAACTACTTATTCACATCCACTGGATAGAAATCTTATTGGAATTGTTACCCCCTAACACACACACACACACACACACACATACACACATATACACACACACACAGAAGAAGTAGGAATAGCATCAAAGTGGTTTCTATCAGTGAGTTTCAAATCATCTTGGAAAGTGGTAATTTTTCCTAGAAAGTGCCCTAATGCTTACTGTGGAGAATATTGGAAAGACTGAGCAGGTCGCGTCTGGGGCTACTCTTGGCACAGCTGCTTTTTACTCTATGTTTAATCCACATCTGTAAAGAGTTTTATCAAGCAGAACAAACTTCCAAATTCAGTTTTTATTGATAATAGATTTTTGTATGACACATGCCATTTTATTATTTAGATTATATTAATTATATGCATGGAGGGAAAAAGACAATTTGATTGTGTGTGTGTGTGTGTGTGTGTGTGATGGGGGGCAAGAACAGTTTCAAAGGCACCTCTGAGGAAATCATAGGTATTTCATCATTCTATGGGCTACAGGCTAACTGCGAATGTTGTACCTAGGCCACCATAATCACCCTCAGCCTGCTGGTGATCTAAAGTCCTTTTCCATAATGGGATGGAGCTGGGCAATGTTGCCTTGGCCTGCTTTCTCCTTGAAGTTTCTAATTCCTCATGCCTCTGGGATGAAGGGCAGGCAATTAAAAGTCTAATTTTTCATCCTTTAATTATAGTAAATGGGGCTTGGAAGATACTGAAAACCATTAACATTTAAGGTTTAGTAGCAAAAAAAAAAAGACTTATCTTGGAGATTGACTTCAATTAATTGTGCATAAGTGTTTTGAATGCTGCAATGTGGAGAAGGAATAGAAGGATCTCTTTGGTACCCAAGGGTGACCTCCTTTACCCCTCTTTCCAACCCAGGAGCCACCAGATTTCCTTTACCTGAAGGTTTCTCCAACACAAGCAGCAGCAAGAGGATATCTACAGCCAATACAATTATGAAGAAGACGAACAGAAGGACTTCCAATGTACTGAGCTTCCTTGCCATCTAGATGGACACAGATAACTGGATTAAAGCAAAATGCAGAGCCCTGAAAGAACAGATGGATGCTTGTGATTAGAATGTGAACTTGTCTGCGAGACAACCTTGATTACCAGCATTCAACTCTACGTACTCAGAGAAGGTTTGTTTCTGCTCTTCATGGTGTCTCCACCTAACTCTGTGCACTTTTCGGGCTCTTACCTTTTTGTCTGTGTAGATATTGAGATTGTTCAGGGAAAAGTATATATCAGACATAAAGAACTACAGAGAGAGAAAGAGAGGAGCCAGATCCTGAAGATAGAGGGATGAGGGGTTGTGATGGCTCACAAAGCCCTTTCAGATGACACTTTGACCTTCATGCGCACTCTGTATAGTACAATAGAGGGTACACTTAGGGAGAAAGAAAATAGCAAAAGCCAAATCCACATCTTCTTCCAATCCCTATGGCATAATGCTGAGATGTTTAACTACTTAGAAGTTACTGGTCCTTTTAAGAATCTGGTGACAAAAATAAACCTGATCCCAATCTCCAACAGAATGCTCAATTGCATGCGCATGGCACACAAACTCATACAAATTGATTGATCTCAGATATCCTGAAGCCCATTCATTGATCCCAGGGTGAAGATGGAAAACTGGGAATCAGAGGGCATGCATGCTTGCTCTGTTCTTTTACTAACAGGTGGGCTGCTCCCCTGCTGGGGCCTGTTTCTTCAGCTACAGAGGTGAGATCAGATTGTGCATGCACTCCCACGTGAATCCCTGTCATGTGCCTCACATTTCAGGACAGTCTCTAGCTTCAAGGACCTTCATGCTTGCTTGGCTTCCATCAACTAGACATCTTGACTGTGCCCTAGAATTTCCACCCCTCAGAATTGTTTCACTTTTTAAATCCTTCACCGCTTTCCATTTACTGGTCACAAGCTTATGTACTTTGCTCTCCCACTGACTTTCTTCAGTTTTCGCTACTCTTTGATCCCATAGAGGCCTCTGTTCTTTTTCCACTTCCATCTGTTCTCTGAGCCCTTTCTGACCACTGGAGCTAGGCCTCAATATCACTATTCAACTGGCCATTTGCTCTCATCTTTCTTATCCCCTCATTTGCTAACTGAATCTACATCATGAAACCATCCAGCCAAAAGCTCTGCCTCTGGGCTGATGCACTGGCTCAACATAGATACCAGTAGGACTTTTAATCCCCCCCCCAAATAACTGGGCCTGCAGACCCACTGACAATCTTACCAGCTCCTCTCATTTTCACAGGAACAATTTTAAAAATTGATCCTTTTTTCCAAGTCCAATTTCATTCAACTACACTCTTATTCTTATCCAATATCATCTCTAATTTGGAAGAGAAAGTAACTGTTTTACAGATGCTATCTTATCTCCATGTTCTCAGCTCAAACTTTGGTACAAAAAAACTCTGCATGACTATAGGCAAAATTTGTATGTTTTCCCTTCTATTCTCCATAGCAGAGTTTTTCCTGTTCTTGCCCAAGCATAATCCTTGTACCCATCCTCCAGCTTTCCTAGCCGCTGAATTTCTCCAAAATTTTGTTTCACCAATTATCCCTCCTCTTTCTTACATGGTCAACCTCTGCCTCCAAACTTGATTTTACCCCTCATAGATGTCTTCTTAGTTATCCTAAACTGTTGATGATTCTGCGTTATTCTGTTATTCTCTAAGTACCATTTTAACTTTCTTTTACTTTTGTAGCTAAGCTTCTAAAAAGATAATTATACACTGTCTTGATTAGCTTCCTCATGCATTACTGGAATGAGTGTATTTCCTGCATTCCACTGAAACTGCTCTTGCCAAAGCCACCAGGGACTTAACCCCTAAATACAACAGGCTCTGTCTTAATCATCTAGCACTATCAACCACTCCCTCCTCCTCGAAACTCTCTACCTATCCATATTCCTGATATCATTCAGTCCTGGTTTTCTACCTCTAGTTCAGATTTCTTTTCAATTTTCTTTGATTCTTCTGTTACATGTGGATATTCTTCATATTTTCACAGAAGTCCCCTTTCAAAACTGCCTGTTGTCCTTGAGCAATCCCCACAACTCATGTGACTTTATATATCTGACAACAATCCAGACTATATTCGCAGACCAAAGATATAGATTCACATATTCAATGGCCTGTTGGTGTCTCATGTGAGCATCCAAAAGAGTCAACCAAAATGAACCTCTTCAGACACAAAAGCATCCATCCTCAACCTTAGTCCCAACTTTTTCCAAATGGGTTGCACTTCAAATAATTAATAGCTTGTGGAACAGAACCAAAATTTCTTTTTTTTTTAAAGTAACAATCTATGAGACTGACACGCTGCCCACTGCGCCAAGAGGGCCAACTGGAATCTAATGTATGAAATATGATATGTCAAGAGCTTTATAATGTTTTGAACAACCAATAAAAAAAATTAAAAAAAAAATAAATAAATAAATAAAAATTTAAAAAAAAAAAAAAATTAAAGTAACAATCTAGGGATCTTTTGGGCTCCTCTCTTACCAGTTACCAGTTGAGGCAGAACACTTTTCCAACATCTTTGGTTCATTTCCCCAATATATCTTCTAGTATCTTCTATATTCAAGTATTAATTGTTCTCTAGATAAGATATAAACCTCTAACCTTGGGACCAAAGTCCTCATGACACCTCCTCTATCCAGGCTCTTTTTTCTATGTGTATAAAGAATTTTCTGTCTTTTGCTTTTGTGTTTACTTCTCTTTTCACGTTACATTTTCCTGAAACTATGCTCCTCTCTAGCCCAATGCCAAGAGCATTCTACAACTATTTTCGTTTAAATTCAATTTGTCATTGAGGCAGTCTTTATAATAATCTGTAGTTACCCAAGAAAAGATGTTCTTTAAACTGAAATGGGGGTGAAGAGCAAGATTCAACAGATAATTGGCCAAGAGGTATTTGCAGAGATTCCTCAGCTCTTGGAGAAACTGGGCCTGGGAATTGAGGCTTTTTAACTATTTTATTCTAATAACTTAAACCTGTCGGGTGTCTCTCTTTGAGTGTAAATTATTCAAAAGATTTGCTCAATTCCCCATAAAGTACAGAGCATGCTGTATTCTTATTGTTATAGTCCCATAAAACACCTACATCAAAGTTCATAAGGCAGGCATCACCATTCCCATTTTATAGATGGATATTAAAGAATTTTGTCCCACCATGATTAGTGGTGGAACTAAGGCAAACTAAGAATCAGAGCTTCCAATAATATTTGCATAATCTCTCCAAAGTATCTTCCAGACCTCAGAGCCTAAAGACCCAGAGGGTAAATCTCCAGTGGTGGAATTTCAGGCACTGAAAGAAGTTGGAGAGACCCACTCTAAATACACACAGAGACCATAATTCCTTATCACAGCAAACAGTTGGTCATCAATTATCATCCTTTTCCCAGCATTGTTTCCCTCTATAGGGAGATGGTTTTTCCCAGTTTCTATAGACCAGAAGCAGGTACTTCTTCTTACTGCTTCTTAGTCTTTCTGAGGGAGCAGGCTCAACACAGTAGTTCAGCAAATTCAGAAACACTCTGGGGACAATCACAGTCATTTTCTTGCCATAGGAGCTATTGTCATCCAGGCAGAGGGTCAGAGTGGGGATTACTAAAGATAGAATTCTCCCTACTTAGAAATCCTTTCTGCTCAAAGCTGGGGCACATTTAGCTTCCCATGAACCCATGCCACCTTCTAGATTCCAGAGGATCACATCTGTTCTTGCATGATTCTCCCAGTGAGAGAGGGACATCCTACTCTAGACCCTCCCCATCTGTATTCTCTCTCTCTCTCTCTCTCTCTCTCTCTCTCTCTCTCTCTCTCCCCCCCCCCACTCTCTCCACGTAAGATCTCATCTTCATACCTCACCAACTATGGAAAATGAAGAAAACATCAGGTCCAGAAGAAAAGTGAAGGCGTATAGATCACTTAACAAGCCAGGGCAGAGGAAAATCTACAAAAAGAATGGGACCTCTTTTTTCCCCTTGAGATCCTATGAGAAAGAAATTCCTTTCCCAAAGCACCACCTGCTTGGGCAAAAGTACTCACCTCATAGCCTTGTCTCTTTCCTTACTGTAGCTCTCACTGAGGCCTGGTGATTCGTGAGGAGCACTGAGCAAAGGTGACCGGGTTGATGGAGAGAGCTTCTGCCAGGATAGATTTACTGCCTCATAAAGTTGACCAAGGGGGAGGAGGGGAGTGCATTTTATAACAGACCATAAAACAGTCCTTGCTCTCCCTAGGACAAGGGAGAATGCTTTGTTAATGCAAGGGGAAGGCTGTTTTGGGTTTGGGTTTTACTCTAATAGTTTTCCCTCAGCATTCCTGTCCATATCTGATTACTTTACTTGTCATAAGCTGTGTTTCCTTCTCTGCTCATGTGGCCTGAAGAGCTCCAGAGCTAGGGTCTTGTTCGTGTTTCACTCTGCCCCATACCCATACACAGTTCTTAAATGTATACCTATTTGTTGAATAAAGGAGGGAAAAAATGAATAGCTCTTGGTTTGTCATTGTTTATTTCTCCATTTCATCCTCCAGTATGCTTATATCAACTCATCTTGTCATTAATTATATACACTTTCCCCCAAGTTATTCCAAATACGCAAAGCACCATTAAAGTAGAAATTATGCAACCGTTAAGTGGAAAGGGGCCTCTAGAAGATATTTGTTGTGACCTTTGACTGCTCAGAACCTTAAAAAAATTAAGGAATTTCTCACTTTAACAATTTTGCCTGCCCAAGAAGATTGGGAACTACCTTTCACAGTCTTCCTTTCAGCCCTTGTATAGGCAAGTGACCTTGGCTCAGAAAACCAGAAGTCGCTGCCTTTGAGTGGTCTCGTCCAGAAGAAAGTGTTAAAGGTGGTACCATATGAAAGGGAAATGTCAGGATGGAGGGGAGATGTCATGTTTTAGGGGAAGTAAGGGCCAGGGACCTAGGGACATTATCTCTATGCTGAGTATTGGAAGTGAACCAGATGTATGCTACAGGCTGTG